TGAGGCTGGGGGAGAGGATTGAGGCTGGGGGAGAGTATTGAGGCTGGGGGAGAGGATTGAGGCTGGGGGAGAGGATTGAGGCTGGGGGAGAGTATTGAGGCTGGGGGAGAGGATTGAGGCTGGGGGAGAGGATTGAGGCTGGGGGAGAGTATTGAGGCTGGGGGAGAGGATTGAGGCTGGGGGAGAGGATTGAGGCTGGGGGAGAGTATTGAGGCTGGGGGAGAGCATTGAGGCTGGGGGAGAGTATTGAGGCTGGGGGAGAGTATTGAGGCTGGGGGAGAGGATTGAGGCTGGGGGAGAGTATTGAGGCTGGGGGAGAGGATTGAGGCTGGGGGAGAGTATTGAGGCTGGGGGAGAGTATTGAGGCTGGGGGAGAGGATTGAGGCTGGGGGAGAGGATTGAGGCTGGGGGAGAGTATTGAGGCTGGGGGAGAGTATTGAGGCTGGGGGAGAGTATTGAGGCTGGGGGAGAGGATTGAGGCTGGGGGAGAGGATTGAGGCTGGGGGAGAGTATTGAGGCTGGGGGAGAGTATTGAGGCTGGGGGAGAGGATTGAGGCTGGGGGAGAGGATTGAGGCTGGGGGAGAGTATTGAGGCTGGGGGAGAGTATTGAGGCTGGGGGAGAGGATTGAGACTGGGGGAGAGGATTGAGGCTGGGGGAGAGTATTGAGGCTGGGGGAGAGTATTGAGGCTGGGGGAGAGGATTGAGGCTGGGGGTGAGGATTGAGGCTGGGGGAGAGTATTGAGGCTGGGGGAGAGGATTGAGGCTGGGGGAGAGTATTGAGGCTGGGGGAGAGGATTGAGGCTGGGGGAGAGTATTGAGGCTGGGGGAGAGGATTGAGGCTGGGGGAGAGGATTGAGGCTGGGGGAGAGTATTGAGGCTGGGGGAGAGTATTGAGGCTGGGGGAGAGGATTGAGGCTGGGGGAGAGTATTGAGGCTGGGGGAGAGGATTGAGGCTGGGGGAGAGGATTGAGGCTGGGGGAGAGTATTGAGGCTGGGGAGAGTATTGAGGCTGGGGGAGAGTATTGAGGCTGGGGGAGAGGATTGAGGCTGGGGGAGAGTATTGAGGCTGGGGGAGAGGATTGAGGCTGGGGGAGAGTATTGAGGCTGGGGGAGAGGATTGAGGCTGGGGGAGAGTATTGAGGCTGGGGGAGAGGATTGAGGCTGGGGGAGAGGATTGAGGCTGGGGGAGAGGATTGAGGCTGGGGGAGAGTATTGAGGCTGGGGGAGAGTATTGAGGCTGGGGGAGAGTATTGAGGCTGGGGGAGAGGATTGAGGCTGGGGGAGAGGATTGAGGCTGGGGGAGAGTATTGAGGCTGGGGGAGAGGATTGAGGCTGGGGGAGAGGATTGAGGCTGGGGGAGAGGATTGAGGCTGGGGGAGAGTATTGAGGCTGGGGGAGAGTATTGAGGCTGGGGGAGAGTATTGAGGCTGGGGGAGAGGATTGAGGCTGGGGGAGAGTATTGAGGCTGGGGGAGAGTATTGAGGCTGGGGGAGAGTATTGAGGCTGGGGGAGAGGATTGAGGCTGGGGGAGAGGATTGAGGCTGGGGGAGAGGATTGAGGCTGGGGGAGAGTATTGAGGCTGGGGGAGAGGATTGAGGCTGGGGGAGAGGATTGAGGCTGGGGGAGAGTATTGAGGCTGGGGGAGAGTATTGAGGCTGGGGGAGAGTATTGAGGCTGGGGGAGAGGATTGAGGCTGGGGGAGAGGATTGAGGCTGGGGGAGAGTATTGAGGCTGGGGGAGAGGATTGAGGCTGGGGGAGAGGATTGAGGCTGGGGGAGAGGATTGAGGCTGGGGGAGAGGATTGAGGCTGGGGGAGAGTATTGAGGCTGGGGGAGAGGATTGAGGCTGGGGGAGAGTATTGAGGCTGGGGGAGAGGATTGAGGCTGGGGGAGAGGATTGAGGCTGGGGGAGAGTATTGAGGCTGGGGGAGAGGATTGAGGCTGGGGGAGAGAATTGAGGCTGGGGGAGAGGATTGAGGCTGGGGGAGAGGATTGAGGCTGGGGGAGAGTATTGAGGCTGGGGGAGAGGATTGAGGCTGGGGGAGAGGATTGAGGCTGGGGGAGAGTATTGAGGCTGGGGGAGAGCATTGAGGCTGGGGGAGAGTATTGAGGCTGGGGGAGAGTATTGAGGCTGGGGGAGAGGATTGAGGCTGGGGGAGAGTATTGAGGCTGGGGGAGAGGATTGAGGCTGGGGGAGAGTATTGAGGCTGGGGGAGAGTATTGAGGCTGGGGGAGAGGATTGAGGCTGGGGGAGAGGATTGAGGCTGGGGGAGAGTATTGAGGCTGGGGGAGAGTATTGAGGCTGGGGGAGAGTATTGAGGCTGGGGGAGAGGATTGAGGCTGGGGGAGAGGATTGAGGCTGGGGGAGAGTATTGAGGCTGGGGGAGAGTATTGAGGCTGGGGGAGAGGATTGAGACTGGGGGAGAGGATTGAGGCTGGGGGAGAGGATTGAGGCTGGGGGAGAGTATTGAGGCTGGGGGAGAGGATTGAGGCTGGGGGAGAGGATTGAGGCTGGGGGAGAGGATTGAGGCTGGGGGAGAGTATTGAGGCTGGGGGAGAGTATTGAGGCTGGGGGAGAGTATTGAGGCTGGGGGAGAGGATTGAGGCTGGGGGAGAGGATTGAGGCTGGGGGAGAGGATTGAGGCTGGGGGAGAGTATTGAGGCTTGGGAGAGTATTGAGGCTGGGGGAGAGTATTGAGGCTGGGGGAGAGGATTGAGGCTGGGGGAGAGTATTGAGGCTGGGGGAGAGGATTGAGGCTGGGGGAGAGTATTGAGGCTGGGGGAGAGTATTGAGGCTGGGGGAGAGGATTGAGGCTGGGGGAGAGGATTGAGGCTGGGGGAGAGTATTGAGGCTGGGGGAGAGTATTGAGGCTGGGGGAGAGTATTGAGGCTGGGGGAGAGGATTGAGGCTGGGGGAGAGGATTGAGGCTGGGGGAGAGTATTGAGGCTGGGGGAGAGTATTGAGGCTGGGGGAGAGGATTGAGGCTGGGGGAGAGTATTGAGGCTGGGGGAGAGGATTGAGGCTGGGGGAGAGGATTGAGGCTGGGGGAGAGTATTGAGGCTGGGGAGAGTATTGAGGCTGGGGGAGAGTATTGAGGCTGGGGGAGAGGATTGAGGCTGGGGGAGAGTATTGAGGCTGGGGAGAGTATTGAGGCTGGGGGAGAGGATTGAGGCTGGGGGAGAGGATTGAGGCTGGGGGAGAGTATTGAGGCTGGGGGAGAGGATTGAGGCTGGGGGAGAGTATTGAGGCTGGGGGAGAGGATTGAGGCTGGGGGAGAGTATTGAGGCTGGGGGAGAGGATTGAGGCTGGGGGAGAGGATTGAGGCTGGGGGAGAGGATTGAGGCTGGGGGAGAGTATTGAGGCTGGGGGAGAGTATTGAGGCTGGGGGAGAGTATTGAGGCTGGGGGAGAGGATTGAGGCTGGGGGAGAGGATTGAGGCTGGGGGAGAGGATTGAGGCTGGGGGAGAGGATTGAGGCTGGGGGAGAGGATTGAGGCTGGGGGAGAGGATTGAGGCTGGGGGAGGGGATTGAGGCTGGCTCTGAGGCGCCTCAAAAGAATCTAGAGGAGCGCGAGATTCTGTTTTTGAGTCGACTCAGTACTTGAAAGGTTAGAGGCACCTTGAGATTCTCAAGCTGAATCTGAGAGGGCTGGGATGAGCCTGTGTCGCACTAGCATTCTTTTGAGGCGCCTCAAAAGGCTGGGAGGAGCCTGTGTCGCACTAGCATTCTTTTGAGGCGCCTCAAAAGGCTGGGATGAGCCTGTGTCGCACTAGCATTCTTTTAGAGAGGCGCTTGAGATTCTCAAGCTGAATCTGAGAGGGCTGGGAGGAGCCTGTGTCGCACTAGCATTCTCCTTCTTGTGCTTCTTCCTCCCTCCTTGTCCCCATTTCCCCATTCCTCCATCTTTTCTAGCTTAACCCTCATGCCCTCAACACGATAGCATGTGCAACATTCCTGCCCCAGTGACAGCAACCTTTCCCCTTTCGTGCTTCTTCCTCTCCCTTCATCAATCCTCCTTCCCCGGTCCTCCCAGCCTCGACGAACCATCCACCCTCACGCCTTCGACGCGACGCAGCATTCCTGAATGATGTTGCAGGTTGCTTTTTAGCATTCTCAAAAACAACCTGCAACATCATCGACTGCAGCGTTCTTGAATGATGTTGCAGGTTGCTTTTTAGAATTCTCAAAAACAACCAGCAACATCATCGACTGCAGCGTTCCTGCACCTGCCTCCTGCCTCCATCGAAACCGCCAGTGACGCTCACACTCACCTTGCACCCTTACGTTGCTCTTTTCTCCTTTCCCTGTCTCGCATGCTCCTCCCAGCCTCCACCCTCACGCCTTCAACGCGAGTGCAGCATTCCTGCACCTCCCTCCCGGCTCCATTGAAACTGCCACACCAGCAGCAGGAGCAGCATCATCATCACCACCACCACCACTAACACCAGCAGCAGCAGCAGCAGCAGCAGCAGCAGCAGATGAGCCAGCAGGATCACAGGCAGCAGCTGCAGCCCCCAAGGCTTCAGAATTTCCGAAGCAGTATGTGCGGGAAGCAGTGGCAGGGCCGCTGGTGATAGCGGGCATGGTGTATAACCGCGTGTTTGATGGGGACTACACTCGCTTCTGGGCGCTGCATGTGTGGCAGGTGAGTGTGGCACGTGAGTATGGCACGTGGGGGGTGTGGCACGTGGGGGGTATGGCACGTGGGGGGTGTGGCACATGGGTATGGCACGTGGGGGGTGTGGCACGTGGGGGGTATGGCACGTGGGGGGTGTGGCACATGGGTATGGCACGTGGGGGGTGTGGCACGTGGGGGGTGTGGCACGTGGGTATGGCACGTGGGGGGTGTGGCACGTGGGTATGGCACGTGGGGGGTGTACTCAAAATGACTTTAGAGTCGACTCAAAAGTCACCACGTGTCAATCTCCCTCCGTCCAGCCCCTTACCGTGTGACGTGTCTGCCTGCCAGCACAGAGCCTTGTTTCTGTTTCCATGCAGTGGTTGGAGTACCATCGATACGCAGGAGTGACTCGGTTCTACTGGTACGATGAGGCAAGGAGCACAGAAGAGGACCAGGTGTGTGTGTGGGGTAGTCGTTGCTGCTCTGCTGCTGCTGTTTGTTTAACCTTGTAACAATTCAAGTGACTCTGCTCACTTTTGAGTAACGAGGGGTTGACTCTGCTCAAAAGTCACCTCTGTTTTTTAAACCTTCTAACCATTCGAGTGACTCTGCTTTACTGGCTGATGGCGGCGTATACCACTTCCCCTTTAGTGACTCAAATGAATCGGTGACCTGTCATGCAAATGAAACAATGCTGAGCCTCTTTCCCCATCCTCACACCTCCCCTTTGTCCTCCCTACGCCTCCACAGGGTGTGACGTGCGGTCCTGTCCCGTACATCAATGCCCACCTGGTGTGGTGGTATACCACCGCATGGAGCTGCTGTGTGCTTAAAACCAGCAGTCCCATAACATCTCCTTCCTGAAAGCCTCCCTCTCCCCGTCCCTCCCCCTCTCCCCACACACCGCCTCAGGACGCTGTGCTGGGGCCCCTATTTTGATGCAGGGCTCGTGGTGGTGTACCACCGCGTTCACCACCTTCACAGGGCTCGTGGTGGTGTACCACCGCGTGCACCACCTTCACAGGGCTCGTGGTGGTGTACCACCGCGTGCACCACCTTCACAGGGCTCGTGGTGGTGTACCACCGCGTGCACCACCTTCACAGGGCTCGTGGTGGTGTACCACCGCGTTCACCACCTTCACAGGGCTCTTCTGTCCGTTCCATTTCCTCTCTTCCCCCTCTATTGTCACAGGACGTGGTGCTGCCCCCTATATTGATGCCAGCCTGGTGGTATACCACCGCGTGGGGGAGCTGTTGAGGCTCAATCTCCCTCCCCCCTCCTCCCTCTCACAGGACGTGGTGCTCTCCCCTTACATTGGCGCCGGCCTGGTGGTATACCACCGCGTGGGGAGCAGTAGAGGGATCAACCTTCGTCTCTCCCTCCTCCCTGCTCCCCCCAACCACCATCACAGGACGTGGTGCTCGCCCCGTACATTGATGCCGGCCTAGTGGTATACCACCGCGTGCGCGAGCTGCCGTTTGTGGGCGGAAATTTCACGGATTACCTGGAGAGAATGTTCCGGTGCAAGCAGGGGGCTGCTTACAACCACTGGGTGCAGGTGGGGGGGGATTTGGATGGAGGTGAAAGTGACAGTGTGACACTGTGCTGTGCTGCTGTTGAGTTGCGAGCCACACTGTGGCATTCATTGAGGGCGATTTCACAGGGCACCTTGAGAGAATGTTTCGGTGCAAGCAGGGAGCTGCGTACAACCACTGGGTGAAGGTGGGGTGGGGAGGGGGGAGGATGAGAGCATTTCAGGGGGTACTTGAGCGACTGTTTCCGTGCAAGCAAGAAAGCTGCTCCATACTCGCACTGGGTGAGTATGGGGGAGGGTTGAGTAAGGAGATCACCTTGTACCGATTTCACAGTGTTCCTTGAGAGGATTCCCATGTGCCTGCTCTGCTCTGCTCTTATATATCATTGCTCCATCTCTCACTGGCTAGCAATAAGTGCGTCTCTCACGTCATCAATGGTTTTGTTACTCCTTCACCCTCCTCTCCCTCTTGCTTTCCCCTGCTTTCTCACAGCAATATCCATTGGAGGTGCACTGGGCTTTCCACACCAATATAAAGGACCTTTCCCCTTCCAGATGTCTCCTTTTTCCTTCCCTCTCTCACCCCGCCCTTCTTTTTCTCAGCACTATGCATCGGAGGTGCACTGGGGTTTTCACACCGATATCGACGAGTATTTCTTTTCCCCGGCCGGCACGCCGCCCGGCTTTCTTCGTCACTACCTGCAGACACTGCCAAAAACAACAATACAGGTGGGTGGCTTTCTTTGTTGCTTAATGCAGCATTACCGGATGCAGGGTTTACCCGGCCACATGGGTGGGCAAGTGGTAACGCACACATGCGAGCAGGTGCGTGCACACTCAGGCGCAAAGACACACACACACACACACACACACACGCACGCACACTCACTCACACACACACGCACGCACGCACGCACGCACGCACACTCACTCACACACACACGCACGCACGCACGCACGCACACACACACAGACGCACACACACCCACGCACACACACACACACACGCATGCACACACACACGCACACACGCATGCACACACCCACACACACACACATGCACACACACATGCACACACGCACGCACGCACGCACACACACACGCACGCACACACCCACACACACACACACACGCACACACACACGCACACTCACACCCACACACACACGCACACACACACACACACACACGCACACCCACAGACACACGCACACACACACACGCACACACACACACGCACACTCACACGCACACTCACACCCACACACACACGCACACACACACACACACGCACACTCACTCACACACACACGCACGCACGCACGCACACACACACACACAGACGCACACACACCCACGCACACACACACACACGCATGCACACACACATGCACACACGCATGCACACACCCACACACACACACATGCACACACACACACACACACGCACACTCACTCACACACACACGCACGCACGCACGCACGCACACACACACAGACGCACACACACCCACGCACACACACACACACGCATGCACACACACACGCACACACGCATCCACACACCCACACACACACACATGCACACACACACACGCACGCACGCACGCACGCACGCACACACACACACAGACGCACACACACCCACGCACACACACACACACGCATGCACACACACACACACACACGCACGCACACACCCACACACACACACATGCACACACACACGCACACACACACACACGTGCGTGCGCCACACACACACAACCCCTTCCAAGCGCTGTCGTTACCCTTGCAGCCTGCCCCCCCTGATTCCTCTTCCCATTCGTAGAGCTTCTTCACACGCTCTTAGAGTGATACGCCCTGTGCGTACCCAAATCCTCCTAGCGCCACCTCGAAATCCAAACTCCTGAGTCCCAACCCATCCCAACTCTTCCCAACTCCTTTCAATTCCTTTATATTCACCCGTGCCCGTTTTATTCTTGCTCCCGTCCAATCACAGGTCCTGATTCAGAGCGTGTTCTTTTTCGGAGACCCAAGGGGCCCCGACACGGACTCTCTATTAGAGCGCCACACCCTCCGAATGCCCAACTCCTCCCAGATTCCCTCTGTTTACCCGTGCTTCTTTCCTTCTTGTTCCCATCCACTCACAGGTTCTGATTCAGAACGTCTTTTTCCTTGGCGACCCAATCGGTCCCGACACGGATACGCTACTAGAGCGCTACACCCTCCGCATGCCCAACTCCTCCCAGCACCACCTCCTCTCCCCGCCTTCCTGTTCTCTCCCTTTCAGGTCTTGATTCAGAACGTCTTTCTCCTTGGGTATTCGATCAGTCCTGACACCGACACACTACTAGAACGCTACACCCTCCGCATGCCCAACTCCTCCCAACTCCTCTCTCTCTACACATGGTCTTCCCCTTCCCCGTCCCATCCACTCACAGGTCCTGATTCAGAACGTCTTTTTCCTTGGAGACCCAATCGGTCTCGACACGGACACTCTACTAGAGCGCTACACCCTCCGCATGCCCAACTCCTCCCAGCGGCACCTCCTCTCCCCACCTTCCTGTTCTCTCCCTTTCAGGTCTTGATTCAGAACGTCTTTTTCCTTGGGGATCCGATCGGTCCCGACACGGATACCTTACTAGAGCGCTACACCCTCCGCATGCCCAACTCCTCCCAGCGGCACCGCACTAAACCCATTGCATGGCTGCCCCTCGCCGTTCACCTTATGGACGACTGTATCAACCCCCACGAGTGGCCTATGATGGAGAATGGGCCGCCGCCATTGGTCGATACGGGGGTGATGAGGTTGAATCACTACTGGGGGGACCGCGCCGGGGTGATTTCGGACAATACTCCGGTTTACACGATGGATGTTACGATGATGGACGAGTATGGGGACGGGCTCGTGAAGGATGATTCGGCCAAGGTGAGGGATGAACTTGCACATGTGAGGGATGAGCTGTCACATGTGAGGGATGAGCTGGCACAGGGGAGGGATGAGCTGGCACAGGGGAGGGATGAGCTGGCACAGGGGAGGGATGAGCTGGCACAGGTGAGGGATGAGCTGGCCAAGGTGAGGGATGAGCTGGCACAGGGGAGGGATGAGCTGGCACAGGGGAGGGATGAGCTGGCACAGGGGAGGGATGAGCTGGCACAGGTGAGGGATGAGCTGGCACAGGGGAGGGATGAGCTAGAAAAGGGGTGTGTTCTCATGCTGATGCAATCCATGCCTTCTTACCCAGTTGTGTCCCCATCACCCCGCTACATCTCCCCCCCCTTTCCTTCCTCCCGTCTTCCCTTTACTTCTCCCCCCTTCCATTCCCTCCCACCCACCTTTTCTCCCTTCCCCCCTCCTCATGCCCTCGACCCCTCCTGTCCTCCGTAGCCCATGGGAGTGTGGCTGCGGCAGCGCATGCAGGTGGCATGGGCGGTCATTTCAGCCCAGGCGGTTCACAAGGAGAGGAAGCGGCTCAGGAAACGTGTGGCTGAGGTGAAGACACGTGTCAGGCAGCTAGTGGCTCTCGTGCCCTGGTTGTTGAAGGGGAGAGGAGGCGAGGGAGTGAGGAGAGGACGAGGAGGAGAGGGAGGTGGAAGAGGAGGGGGGATGAAGGGAGGAGAGGAAGGAGAGGGAGGGAAGGAGAGGGAGGAAGCAAGAAAGATGGAGGGTGGGGTGAGCATGGAGGTGGGTGGGTTGACAGAGGATGAGGCGTTGGGAGAGGGTGGTGGTGATGATGATGGTGGTGGTGGTGGTGACATGATGCTGGGAGGGAATTTAATGCTGGGTGAGTTTTTCCTCCAAGATATTCTGAATGCCACTAACGCTACAGCTGCTGCAAACGCTACAGCCGCTGCAAATGTTACTGTCGGTGCAAATGTTACCGCTGGTGCAACTGCTTCTGCGGGTGCTGATGTCATCAAGGGTGCTGCTGATGTCATCAAGGGTGCTGCTGATGCAACCAGAGGTGCAAAGACGAGAGAGGTGAGAAGAGCCGATTCTCAGGCTGCAATGGCCGTGGCACACCCTGCACTGGTTGGTGCGAATGCGACCGAGAGTTCTGCTGATGCTACCAGAGGCGCTGCTGATGTTACCAGGGGTGCTGCTGATGTTACCAGGGGTGCTGCTGATGTTACCAGGGGTGCTGCTGATGTTACCAGGGGTGCTGCTGATGTTACCAGGGGTGCTGCTGATGTTACCAGGGGTGCTGCTGATGTTACCAGGGGTGCTGCTGATCTTACCAGGGGTGCTGCTGATGTTACCAGGGGTGCTGCTGATGTTACCAGGGGTGCTGTTGATGTTACCAGGGGTGCTGTTGATGTTACCAGGGGTGCTGATGTTACCAGGGGTGCTGCTGATGTTACCAGGGGTGCTGCTGATGTTACCAGGGGTGCTGCTGATGTTACCAGGGGTGCTGCTGATGTTACCAGGGGTGCTGCTGATGTTACCAGGGGTGCTGTTGATGTTACCAGGGGTGCTGTTGATGTTACCAGGGGTGCTGTTGATGTTACCAGGGGTGCTGCTGATGTTACCAGGGGTGCTGCTGATGTTACCAGGGGTGCTGTTGATGTTACCAGGGGTGCTGTTGATGTTACAAGGGGTGCTGATGTTACCAGGGGTGCTGTTGATGTTACCAGGGGTGCTGTTGATGTTACCAGGGGTGCTGTTGATGTTACCAGGGGTGCTGCTGATGCTACCAGGGGTGCTGCTGATGTTACCGGGGGTGCTGCTGATGTTACCAGGGGTGCTGCTGATGTTACCAGGGGTGCTGTTGATGTTACCAGGGGTGCTGTTGATGTTACCAGGGGTGCTGTTGATGTTACCAGGGGTGCTGCTGATGTTACCAGGGGTGCTGCTGATGTTACCAGGGGTGCTGTTGATGTTACCAGGGGTGCTGTTGATGTTACAAGGGGTGCTGATGTTACCAGGGGTGCTGTTGATGTTACCAGGGGTGCTGTTGATGTTACCAGGGGTGCTGCTGATGCTACCAGGGGTGCTGCTGATGTTACCGGGGGTGCTGCTGATGTTACCAGGGGTGCTGATGTTACCGGAGGCGCAAGCACCAGAGAAGGCAGAAGAACCAATTATCTTCCTGCAGTGACCATGGCACCCCCCACCACACGGGATGCTGCTGAGGCTGGTACTCGCAAATCGTCGAGTTCGCTGGTGTCAGGTGCAGATCGAGGAGATGAGAGGAGTGACGTGAGAGTTGGAGTTTCAGCAGCAGTAACAGCTGTGGTGGATGACAGTAGGAATGGGTATGAGAAAGGGAAGATGAGTGTTATCGGGATGTCAGCTGGTGGTGCTGCTATTGGATTGAGTGGTGGTGGTGAGGGTGGAGGAATAGTGGCTAGTGAGGTGGTGCGTGATGCAAGAAAGAAGCGATTGGGTCAACATGAGCTATTGCATGAAGAGCGGACAGATGACAGCATTCAAACAGAAGATTGATGGTAATCTGAATTGAGCTTGATTTATTCGTATGAAAAATTGTTGCCATGTAACGAAGCCGTATTATGTTTATATTAGCAGTCTGAATATTGTGATTATTTTTTTCCAGACTGATGGCCAAAATGTGAAGTACTCATGCTTGATAAGAGAAAGATTGCAGTAAGATGCGATGTGTTTCTTTAATATCAATGAGGTACAGTTCAAGAAGGTGTGAGTACACTACGGTAATGTGAACATTATTGAACCCCTGAGTTTGCGCTTCACCGGAATGTGTGCCGCAAAGGCGGCTAATGAAAATATATTTCGGGCATAAATGTTTATAGTTAATGAAAACCCCCATTCTTCTTGTTCGTTTTTGCGGTTTCTCATCCTCCCCTTCTAAAAGTACGGTACATGTTGGCCCTTACAGATACGAAGGTACCAACGGACAGAAAAGCAGCCCGTTGTAGGTTGCTTCCAAGTGTCTGTCAGCGCGCCCACTTCTGATAGTGTAGAAGCGCGAGCAACGACCACGACCAACCTTCCGCTGTTGTTCAAGTCAGAACCCGAGTTATACCCTGTACTGTTTTGAAAGAGGAGGAGAAATACCCGACGCCTGTTGTGAGATATCGCTAAAATCTCCCCCCCCCTCGATCCCAGAAGTCAGTGCTCTGTGAGCAATTATTTCATCCCGCACACACCTTCGAATCTCCGCAATGTGCGCGGCATCCAACAGCAAGCACGCCCCAGCCACCTGTGTGTGCATCTCAGTTCCTAGAAAGGGAATTCCACCCGGGGGGGACTATAAAGCTTTCATTATAACCCGAACAACCCTCACAATAACCTAACGTCGCTTTCTTTTTGAAGTCCTATAGTTGCTCGCCATGGGCGCTCTTCGCTCTATCTTCACGCTCGCCCTTCTTTTCGCGTCTCTGAACCTCCTTTCGGCTGCGGCAGCGCAAGAGGAGCGCGGTGGGTATGCGGAAGGGCCGCGTCGGGCTCTTATGCGTGGCACTACCAGTAAAACAATTGCTACTAACCATGCAGCATTGGCAGACGTGGCACAGCAAGATTCAGCCGCCACTGACGTGATAATCGAGAGTCGCGTTGACACGGCGAAAGACACGCGGCGAGCGGCGCTGCAGGACTCGTTCGCATTCAAGCCTGCAGGCAGTCAACTCGTCTCGCAAATCCGCGATAAAATCTCGAGCGCCCGTGAATGGTGGGGGAAAGTTACTAAGCCGCCACCCCAGCCAGGTTTTGGCTTCCCTAATCGCCCTCCGCTCACCGAGAAGGACCTCAGGAAAAAATATGGGATGCCTTGGTAAGTCGGAAGATGCTCTGGTGAACTCTCGCTCGCTCGTTGGGGAGTGTAGAAGATTCTCTGCTGTGTGATGATGAGACGCCGCTGAATTGCAGTTGAACGGTGCTTTTGGGATGAGTGTGCGTGCGATTGGGGCAGCGGGTAGGAAATGCGTGTGGGAATGCGTGTGCAATGGGTGTGGGGATGTGTGTGGGAATGTGTTTGGGAATGCGTGCAATTGATGTGGGAATACCGTATTTTCGGAAATCCGTGGGGAATCTGCTGGGGAAGGTTTTTTGGAATGGGTGTGGGGTTCAAGTGAAAGTATGAAAGCAGGGGGCTGACTGGGTGGTGAAGGGCAGGAAGGGCTTTATTTCAGTGAGCTGTGCTGTCGTATAGTGCTTGCTGCTCATCTGGCTGCCCTGGAATTAGCTGATTGCGCTGCTTATTTAGTTTCTATGGATTGCCAGGATTTTATCCTGGATGCTGTAGATGGTGCAATGTGTATGCTACCGATATTTCAAGGCTGTGCTGTGCATGTCTTGCATTGTCATGGAAGCAATGAAAGCAATGCACAACGAGACACACTCTGCCAACTCTTGACTTGGGCTCAGCAACACAACATTGACCGCAGTTGGGCTAGTAGATACCACACCCTCCCCTCTCCCCCACACCCTCCCCCTCCCCCCCCCCCCCCCACTTCCCTCCCCTCCTCTTCCCCACCGCCATTCCACCACGCATCATACCAGACAGGTGCTGCCGCTGATGAAATCCATTAAATAGACCCGTCAAGGCAAACATAATATTGCATCCTACCAGCAAACTGTAGCACAGAATTTTGCTAAGTACATCGCGGCAATGGTTACGACGATGCTTGTGTACCCTCCTCCTGGCCCGCTGGTTGGTCTCTCAAAACCTTGAAGATCGCACACAGACGCGAAGGCTTGAAAATCTGAACAACAGGGAAAAAAAAGAGGCATTTCATAGTATGAATAGAATGTAGATGTATATGAACTGCAAGATTGGTCCACTAGCATAACCTGGATAAGGTACCTAACCAAAAGCCTGTAGTACAATCCTTGGGCTGTGCCCTGGACCTGGATTCAAACTCTTGGACTGCACACCCGACCTTGCTGTTCAATATTTGTACTTATACCAAAAATTTCTGTCCAATATTTGGACTGATACTGGACCTTGCCGTCCAATCCTTCGACTGTACCCCCCTGAGACCCTGACAAACCCGCCCCCTCCCAACGCACCTGTGCTTTGAACATGAAGTTGGGCGGCACGTTGATGATGATGTAGTTATCCTTGTCGTCATTGTACTTCTCCAGCTCCTGTGATTGTGGCGTGCAGGGGCAAGGTAAAGGTCACATGTCAAGTTGCTCCTGTATGTCTCTGTGGTTGATGGTTTAGTTGTCCTTGTCCTCATTGTACTTCTCCAACTCCTGTGGCAGCAAGGTTGGGGTTACGGGCAAGGCAGAGAGGAAGTGTTGGCAGGAGGGTTGACAGGCTCGCTGGTGAGGCACGTTGATGATGATGCAGTTGTCCTTGTCCTCATTGTACTTCTCCAACTCCTGTGATTGTTGGGTGGGGGCAAGGGGAAGGTCGCATGGCAATGATCATGTGATTCTCCTCGCCTTTGTTTCAGTTCTCCAGTTCCTGTGGGAGGCATGAGGAAGGCAGGGAGGCAGTGTTGGTTGGCACGAGGGTTGAGAGGCTTGCTAGCACATCACGGCACGGTAATTTGATCATGATGCAGTTCTCCTTGCCCTCGTGGCGTGACTCCAATTGCTGTGACAGGAAGGATGGGGTTACGGGGAGAAGGCAGAGAGCGGAGTGTTGGCACGAAATACACAGGCTTGCTGGCACTGCACGTTGATCATGATGCAGTTCTCCTTGCCCTCGTTGCGTGACTCCAATTCCTGTGACCGCACCGTGAGGTTAGCGGATATGAGAATGCCGCATCTCTCGAGTTACTGCTTTGTTCGTTGTGAAGCCAATGGAGGCACGTTGATGATGTACTACTCTTTTCCGTCCTTCTTGTGGTACTTACCCGAAACTTGTGTCAGTTTAGGTTGAGGGTAAAGGTAAGGTAGGGACCCATGCACCCATGCACCCATGTACCCATGCACCCATGCACCCATGCACCCATGCACCCATGCGGCCATGCACCCAAGCACCCATGCAGCCATGCGCCCATGCAGTCATGCAGCCATGCACCCATGCACCCATGCACCCATGCAGCCATGCATCCATGCACCCATGCACCCATGCAGCCCAGCAAAGGCACGAGAGCTCTTGTCTTTGTGCCAGTGCCGTCTGGTGAAATGACAGTGTTGACCTGCGTTGACCAGTGATGACGTGAGAGCGTTGACCTGCGTTCTCACACACATACCTGAGGCATGCCGAAGCGCGTGGTGGGGCTCCACGGCACAGGCGTGAAGAGCTCGCCAGTGAACTCCGTCCCCGTGATGCCAGCTGGCACGCCAGGCTGGGTCGCCACCTGGACGAACGGGAATGGCGGGAGGGGGCACGTCAGGGAATCCCAGGGAGAGTCAGCATCGGGTGGAAAGTTTATGACAGCAACGGTTACAGTCACTCGTTTCGGCCATTCTCTGCTCAGAAGATGCAGAGAAAGGGAGTTTTGGGATTGAGGTGACTTTTGAGTCGACTCAAAAGTCACCTCGTTTGTTTCGGCCATTCGCTGCTCAGACGATGCAGAAATTGGGAGCTTTGAGATTGCCACAGGCGGGAGCAGAGGACTGATAGGCTTTGACAAGGCATATTCTCTTGAAAATCCCATCGACATCCTAGTGCTCTCTCTCAGTGTTTCTTTGCTCGTGGTGCCGGCTCAGCAGCAGCGACCAGCCGACAGAGCGCCCTCCTTGCATCAACAGTGCAATAGAGTGGCTGTTGCGACCCTCACGTCCCCCGCCGACCTGCTACAGCCTGGTCGGCGGCAATGTACCTGCTGCAGGAAAACGTTGGACGAGAGCAGATAGACAAGCAGCTCCTCGCTACAACCCATACGACCCCTGCCATCCTGCTACAGCCCACACGACCCCTGCCATCCTGCTACAGCTCGCACAGGGTGGCGGCAACGCAATGTCATGTCGCGAACGCACCTGCTGCAGGAAGACGTCGGACGAGAGCAGATAGACGAGCACCTCCTTGTTCCCTTTTGACAATCTACAGCCCACACGACCCCTGCCCTCCTGATACAACCCACACGATTCTGCTACAACCCACACAAGTCAGCGGGCACGCACCTGCTGCAGGAAGACATCGGACGAGAGCAGATAGACGAGCACCTCCTTGGCCTGCCAGCGGAACGACACGCGCATGGACGGGGGACGGGCGCACGGCGGATGGGCGCACGGCGGATGGGCGCACGGGGATGGGCGCACGGGGGATGGGCGCACGGGGATGGGGGAATGATATGAATGGGAGCATACGAATGGGAACTTGGCGTGTTACGGGGATAGAACACGCTCAACAGCATGGGATTCTAGACAGATGGTACCACCAGGACATAGATAGGCGGTAACACGGGAATCCGTACGTAGCGTGACATGAAAGGTCCGTACGCAGCCACTTCTGAGTTTGCGCAAGTGATCAGAACGGGACTGGACAGCAGCGGCATTGAGAGACGGAATGCAAGAGAGAATGCATGGCGGTTTTCGGGTTTTTTCGAAAGTCCACAAAAAGTTCGATGTGATTTTTGAATCAGGTCAAAGGTCGGAGAACCCACATGACGAACGAACGTCTTGAAGTGTGATGGAGGATTCAGGCGCGGATTGGTCAACATGTGAGACTCTGGTTATTGATTGGCTAGGTATGACTTGGTGCTATAACTTGGTGCGACGTAATCGGGCTCACCTGAGGGTCCAACTCAAAGCTTGTGTCGAAGCTCTCAACGGCGCGGATGCCTTGTACGACGTGCGAGCATCGTTGGATTTTGCTGCTGACGGTCGATCGTGAGAAGGACGACGCGGGTTGGTTGACGGAAGGCGTAAGCGGTCTAGCGGAAGCGACAATACGCGAGGCGAGGGGACGTCGAGACGGAGAAGAGGAGGAGGATGGGAATGTTGATGATGGAGACGCTAGCAACGACTCGCCGAGAAGCGAGGAGGCGAGAAGCGACTGGGCCATGGTCAAGAGCGAGGCAAGGGAAAGGCTTTAATCTGCAAGGGATGTACAGAAATTACTACGGTATTCACACTCGACGTGGTCGCGCGTGCAGCTCCAGTGTCTGGTTGAGAGCTCTGATAGTGAAGAAACTGCACAAAGAAATGGCTCGAGAGACAATCACAGTCAGCTTTGAGAATGTGTAGGAAGGATCGAAATGGGTGGAAAGGTCAGGGCTAGGCGCATTCGGATCATTGTGAGTTGTTGACCGCTTCCTCTTGTACGATTGGAATGTCAAGATCGGTAGAGCTCGTGTTGATTTATATTAGACATTTATTTCGAATATTGACTGAAATTGTGAGACGAGATGACACCAGAACCTCACCCTTTTAGTCAATTTCGTATCTGACACTCGCAAAATTTCAGCAGCGTTCCCCGTGACCAAGTCCTGAGCATTTTGAACGCGTAGTGAAAGCATCGAGAGAAGCAATGAGCAAGTGCATTCACCATCAGCCACTGAAATCTCCGCAATCTGCTTTTGCAAAACTCTCTGCGGTAATGTCAAGGAGTCCTCACACACGTGGCAATTCAGTGGTTTAGAAACACGCATTGAGTAAGGGTTCTCGCGAGCCCAATTAGGGGCAATCTACATAATAATATACGTAGGAAAAGCATGTACAATGTACAAACTAGTGCGTTAATAGATATCGAGGAATCCTAAATCAATAGAAAGGCCATTGTAAACACTGCAATGCTGAGTATCGCTTGTACATTCACATTGAAAACTGGAAAGGGAGAGATGGTGGAGATAAAAATGGAGGAGAGGTCGGAAAAAGAGGGGCAAGCATTATTAACCAAGTCATTTGTAGAACGAAGACATGAAACAATGGGAACCATGAATTCACAAGCAGACAAGACATGCAAGAAAAAAACGCAACCAGTACAACACTTTTCATCCTTCAGTCTCCGCATTTCAATGTGCGTGCCTCTCCCCCTGTACCATATGGTCAACCCCTTGCAAATTGTCCATCTCTCCTCACTCTCCCTCTCTGTCCCTCTCCTTCCCCCTTTCCCCCTGCTCCCATTCCTGCCAGCAGACCTCTTCCCCAAGGATTGGCAGGCCTGGTGGGAGGAACAGAACAGGATCAGCCCCTTCCAGTGCCAGCCTGCCATCCCTCTCCCACATTCTTTTCACCACCCCCTTCAACAGAAGCACCCACTGTCCAAGTCCCCACCTCTCCTCCCAGTGTTGGCAGGCCCGGTTGGAGGAAACAGCACGTGGTCAGCGACTTGCACGAATAATCATCCATCCTGCTCTCATCCTTCCTCTCTCCCGTCCTGCCTCTCTATAGTCCGTTTCCGTACCTCGTCCCACAGCATTGGCAGGCCCGGTGGGAGGAAGCAGAACATGGTCGGCGCCTTGCACGGCCAGCTTCCCATCAGCTACGGCATCCTTGAGAGCGCGCAGCACAGTGGCGGCTGCAGTGACAGAGTAGGCCGTGTAGGGGCTGTCCCGCACAGGCGTGTTGGAGTTGGCCGGCACGCGGAACACCAGCGACTTGTCCGACTCTATGTGGATCTGAATCGTCTGATTCGTGCCCACTGCGTATATGTGCCCGTGCTGTGGCGCCTGTGGGGATAAAAAGGGGGGGGGGGGAAGGGACGGGTGGGGCAGGAGGGGGGATTTGGATTGACTTGTTGGACTCTATGTGGATCTGAATGGTTTGATTCGTGCCCACCGCGTATACGTGCCCGTGCTGGGGGGCCTGTGTGAGGAGAGGGGGGATGGGAGGAGTGAAGGAGGGATGGAGGGAGAAAGGGAGGGAGGGAGGGAGGGAGGGAGGGAGGGAGGGAGGAAGGGAGGGAGGGAGGGAGGGAGGGAGGGAGGGAGGGAGGGAGGGAGGGAGGGAGGGAGGGAGGGAGAGAGGGAGGGAGGGAACGGATGATGAGTGGGCAGAACAGCGGCGGCTGCAGCGACAGAGTAGGCCGTGTAGGGGACGTCCCTCACAGGGTGCAGCAGCAGAGGGTGCAGCAGCAGCACGGCAGACCAATCTCACATGGATATCTCACATGAATCCCTTGTTCATCAACTCACCGGGTTGCTTGCATTAGGAGAGGCCATTTCTTCCAGCTGCTTTTCCAGATAGTAAGCGCCTGTGAGGTGCAGCATCAGCACGCCTCTCAGGGCGGCCGTCCCTTCGGGCGATAGGGCGGCCAGGTTCAGAGGAGCGGAGAGGTTGCTGAAGGTGCGGGTGATGTTGGGGGGGCTGGCGGAGGCAGGGGTGGTGATGCTGCTGGCTGCTGCTACGAGGGCGGCTGGGGTGACGCTTGGATAGCCCACAAAGATATCTGTAGGGAAGGAAAGGAACAGAGAGAGGAAGTGGGGGGCGGGGGAGAGGACACGGGGGTTTCGTATTAGCAGCAAGGAAAGGCTATCTATGTCCACCTATCCAAGTCGCAAACGGTTGCTCCGCGTTGGCGCGCTCTAGCACGTCAGAGAACTGACAGTGCTGGCGGCGGGTTGCTTCGCGTGGGCTCGTTCCAACACATCGAAGAACTGCTGCCACGCGTTGTTAGTCGGCTAGCCGGTTGCTGGCCGTTGAGGGGGAGGAAGGGGGGCGAGGTTGTGGAAAAAGGGGGGAGGGTGAGCGGGGGCGGTTACCTGGCCACGTCCCCGCGGGTTGCTTCGCATTGGCGCGCTCCAGCACGTCGAAGAACTGCTGCCACGCGTAGTTAGTCGGCGCCACCAGCAGCGCGCCGAGCCCCGAGTTCCGCGCGTTAATCACCTCCTGGTCCACGCCCGTGCCGCGCAGCAGGCTCGCCGTCCACGCTAGCGACGCCGCTGACGCGTTCGCGCCGCCGCCACCGCCGCCTCCGCCGCCGGCGCCGGCGAGTCCGGCGGAGGCACGGATTAACGCGTTATAGAGTGCCTCGGTAGAGTCTACGGCGACGGCAGCCCCAGGGTTCGCAGGCGTTGCAACCGGAGAGGAAGTCTGAGCGGCGGAGACGGCGAGAGGGGGCGAACCGAAAAGTAAAAGCGACGCGAGGAGGATCGGGAGCACTGTGGAGATTAATCTGGAACCTACGGAGGGACGGCGAGAGTGTACGAATAGCACTAATAGCGGGTCATCTACTAGCGCGGTTTTTTTCGCTGGCAGTACGGTACGGGCGGACTCGGTGGTGCCACGGGCAACAGTGTTTGAGCCATTGATGAGAACGGGAGCCATGGTCCGACCATGAGTCATGACGAGCGGAAGCGGAAAATGTTGCTTAGTAGTGTAAATCGTACGCCGATGTGGGCTTTTGAGGCGACTCGAACGTCACGACGAGCGGCGACGGGTAATATAGTATACTATTCAGCAGCGGGTCGGCTCAGAGAGTACGATGCGGCGAGTGGGTGGGGACGTGTGATGACGATTAAGGCGTTACACGAGACGTCAGGCGAGGCGTCAAAATTGACGGCGTCAATTCTTCTTAGGCGCGAATTTCTTATGCATCTATTTCCAAGACGTTTAACTTCGAGGCGCCCGCAATAAAGATACTCAAGAGGCGCCGGGGTCGGACATTGAACGCTTTTCGAAGTAAGGTTGCTACGCGGGACCGCGCTCCGAAGAGTAGTCGTTCGAAACAGTAACGGTTACTGCGCTGAATGGTCTAGTTTCGCTGGAGATGCTTCCTCAATATAAGTCGACGATATGTGCACAAAACCGCTGTACAAACTAAAATTACGAATATGTGCTTAGAACGCCCAGCTTTGCCGCTGCCTCCAGCGAACCGCTTCGGCCTAAACTGAACTGGAACCTCGTCTCACTCAACTCAACCTTGGTCACTCCAAGTCATTCCATATGCTCCAAAACCATGGTTGAGCAGAGAACGGGGGTGGTTTCAGTCCTCGGGCGTGTTCACATGGTGACTTTACTACACTGAGGTTGGAAGTATGCCTGGATCTGCCAGGGGAGAACACTACCAGTCTGGTTGTAAGCATTGTGTTTTAAATATATCACACGAACAACTGACACTAACTCCACTGAGCGGTCATTCAACACGCTTTAGAAGAGTTCTGCACCGAACCAGTCAAACCGAGAGGAAACAACACCTATGGGCACGTGGTCCACGTCTAACGGTCGGAGCAGAAGATTTTCCACGTGGATACTTCTCTCAGATCGTAACCGTCCGTATTCTAACTTCGACAACAGAATGCGCGGAGATTGGCTAATTTGTATTCGGCAATTTTCCACAGCCAAGCCTCCCCAGCTATGGACGAAATTGCAGCCAGGGGATTTGGTACGGACGGACTGCGATTCCATCCACAACCACGACCCATCCCACGTTGAGGGGGGGCGGTGTCGCGCTGTGTGGCAGGATCGATACTGGAGTCTCGGTTCCGTACAGAGGTTCAGTTTGATTCACCCAAAGACAATAAAGACTCGGTTATGTATATTAGATAGACTGCAAACATATTTTATTCTCTTGCAACCATGACACACCTTGCTTGGTATAGGGGAAGTGCGGAGGGGGAAAAGGAAGGGGAGGGGGGGGGAGGGGAAGAGGGGAGGGGGAAGGGGGGAGGGAGGGGGAAGAGGGGGCTAGGGGAGGCGACTGCATGTTTGGGGAATACATGGACCTGGTAGGCTGATACACATCACATATGATCACATCACATCCCTATGAATTCAGCCAGTCGAAGTAAATCTGACAAAGCTCCCGGCATCAATTTCCGGGCAAACAGAAAACAAGGAACACTCTCATCAGCTACTCTACAGCCCGGAGGCCCTCTCATCCTCTCTATAAGCTTCTCCGTCACCTGACCCGCACTAAACTGCGCAGGATGCGCAGCACCCGGCTTAGACCAATCCGTCCAAGTAACCGTCCTATTGGCCACATTTCCCGGCATAAGAACCTTCAGCATAGTCGGCATGTAGTGCTCGTCCGCGTAACACGGCGGCCTGCAGAACCGCTTAAAAAGAGGATAGAAAATATCGTCCGCGACGATAACCCTAGCCGCTTCCCTATCCATGGCAAACCACTGCCCTCCCTTTCTCCAATCTTCCAAACGAACCAGAGGCAGAAACTCCCTCCGCCACCTCCCCCGCCCGTTCGTCCCAGGCTCGTTCTTCAAACGAACGTATGCTTCGGGCGAGGCCATGAGGTACTCGTAAACGAATGTGAAGTTAAAGAGGGGAGCGCAGGACTCTGAAACGAGGATGAAGCGTGCATTGCCTGGGTCCAGGAGAGCGTTGGCTAGCAGGCGTCTTTCCGCGTCCACCATACTAATCTCGCCCCAGTGCACGTCCTGGCGGTGAGAGAAAGGGGGTATGGGGAAGATGGGGAGTGGGGGAGTTGGGGAATGCGGGTGCATGACTTGTATACGGTACGAGGATGAAGCATGCGTTTCCAGGGTCCAAAAGGGCGTTGGCTAGCAGGCGTCTTTCTGAGTCCACCATGCTGATCTCACCCCAGTGCACGTCCTGGGGTGAGAGAAAGGGGGTATCAGGAAAAGGGAGGATGGGAAAAGGGGGGATGGGGAAAGAGGGGATGGAGAAGAAAGGGTAAGATGGAAAATAAGAGCACAGAGTCTGAAACGAGGATGAAGCGTGCGTTTCCCGGGTCCAGGAGCGCGTTGGCTAGCAGGCGCCGTTTGCATCCACCATGCTGATTTCAACCCAGTGCACGCTCTGGGGTGAGAGAAAAGGGGGATAGGCGAGATGGCGAGATGGGGATGAGGGGGCGATGGGGGATGGGATGAATGTACGCCAACGGCGTTGGCTAGCAGGCGACGTTCCGCGTCCACCATGCTGATTTCACCCCAGTGCACGTCCTGGGGTGAGAGAGAGGAGGTACGGGGAGATGGAGGCGATGGGGTGATGAGGTATGAGGGAGCGATGAAGGATAAAATTAATGTAGACCACTAGCGTTGGCAATCAGGCGTTTTTCCGCATCCACCATACTGATCTCACCCCAGTGCACGTCCTGGCGGTGAGAAAGGGACGGGATGCGAGTGGGAAAATGGGAGAGATGGGCGTTTGGGAGATGGGGAAGGAAGGGGCGATGGAGGATGGAATGCACGTGAACAGCCATTGTTGGCAAGCGGGCGCCTCTCCCCGACCACCATGCTGATCTCACCCCAGTGCACGTCCTGGGGGGTGAGGGAGAGGCGGGTGGGAGGCGGTTGGCAGAGGTGGAATGGGAAGAAGAATGGGAAGAAGTGCTGAGTTGTGGAGATATGGAACGAGTTTTAAGTGGCAATCTCCTCTCGGCGTCTTCTGTGCTGCTCTCACCCCAGTGCAGGGAGGGGCTGGGGTATGAGAGAGAGCGGGGATGGGAAAGATGGGGAGTGGGGAAGATGGAAAACGAGAGGGCGATGGAGGATGGAATGTGTGTGATGTGAATACCCATGTTGGCTGGGAATCCCCTCCCTCTCGGTGTCTTCTGTGCTGCTCTGGCCTCAGTGCAGGAACTGGATGGGGGAGAGAGGGGATGGGAGTGGGAAGGGGTGTTGGAATGATGGAGTTGGGGAGAAAGGAAGAGAGAGTGACGTGGCAAGGGAGAGGAGAGAGTTTTGGGATGTGTCAAACATAGGAAAAGAAAGAGGAGAAAAGGAAAAGAGATTGGCATAAAATTACGTGCGCATACTTGCCTAGACTAACTCACTTGACTCGGTATGTGTGCGCCTTCAAACGCGGATGGAAGCTCCCCTGGCTTATATCGAAACTCGCGAGCCGTGTGGATGTAGATTGAGAAGAAACCCTCATGGCCTTTAAAGAACCGTTCCCAAAAGGGAGCCAATGGCAGACGGCCACGTGTCATGAACAGAAAGGCGAGTTTCGGGGTTTGTATAGACGCCTCGGTAAGGCCTACCCTCCCTGCCTTATATCGAAGCAAGAAATCCGCATCTAGCTGATCAGAAAGATTAGCCTTAATTGACGGCACGGCAGAAATAGCCTGACCGCCATTACCAGCAGTGGAATCTGTGATCTGATTGGTCGCATGGACAACAGAATCTATCTTCGAATCTACACCCGTATGCGAACCAATCGTGGAATTGATCGAGATTGCTTCAAAATCTCTAATATCTTGACCTCTAACTCCACCTCTATCGTGATCGCCATCCTTATCCAATGACATTACTCGCTGCCAGTAGCCACGCTGGCACGTCCATCCTCCTGTCATGATCCCCAGAAAGAACACGATCGGCAGCACTAAGATGTATATCGGCCCTGCGCGTCTCGAGGACGGCCTTGCAGCGGATTTCCCGGCGCCGGGAGCGGAGTTGACGGGAGAAGCCGCTAAGGATGGAAGAGAGGGAGAGCGGCCGACGGTCCTAGGCTCGGCCATTCCTGACGTATGCGCGCTGTAGGGATTTAGCGACCTAGTGATTATTCGAAAAATGCTCTAGGGAGTTTATGGGATCTAGACTAATTTCTATCAGAAAGGAGTTATCATCATCATGCCCCATGCCGCCCAATGATGCCATGGCTGCTGGTTCATGCCATGTCATGTGCCGCACCCCTTTCGGAGATACTTGATAGGAAGATGTCGTACTCGTTACACGTTCAGCTTGGCTGACTGTCCCGATAAAGGCAGTTGTTAGATATATGGAGGATAATAGCTCATGCAGTATGTGTGATTAGTGTTTCACAGACGATAATATTCAACAATACTGCACAAAATGTGCAGTCATTCAATGTCCCTAAAGAAATCAGCCATTGCTGACCCACGTGCCTTGAAATTTCCACGACGGTTGGGAGAGCGACGCCTTTTCCTCCCTGCGGCGGCAGGCAGAAGGGAAAAACAAGCAATTAAACAAATATGAGTTGACTTGTTTATGTGCACAAGTCCATAATGCAGTGTAACTACGTTCCACCTTCGTGCATCACCGTAACAATGAAATACTGTATGAATGAATGAAACGAAACCCTTGCATTCAAAACAAAGCAACTATACTATACTCACCTCCCTTGCCACCGTCGTCGTCGCTGCTGTCTGAGTCATCGTCTCTCCCACCTCCTCTCTGGTCACTGTCACTATCACTCTCCTTACAGTCACCCCTTCTTCTCCCAGCAACTGTCTGCTCCTTCCCCCGGCCTTCACCGTCCCCTGCTTGTTCTGCCCCTCCATTTCCCACTCCCATTTCACCAGCACCAGCAGCAGCAGATGCCGGCTCATTTGGATCTTTTCCATTTGCCACTGTATAGTCTCCTCCTCCTGCTCCAGTCTTTTCATCTTGCTTCTCATCCTCCTCTTCCTCTTCCTCCTCCTCCTCCCCATCCTCTCCCTCCTCCTCCTCATCCAAAATTCCTGCGATGTCCCATGCCTAGAGAAGGGGGGGACAGCCAAGAGGAAGGAGAACAGGAGAAGGTGCAAGGTAGAGAGAGTGTGAGGGAAACGAAGGAAGAACACAGTGACAGGAAGGAAGGGGGACACATGGGTGTAGAACTCGAGAAGCAAGCACCATCATCTGCACTCTCATGCCACATCATACTCTGTTGTGCCATGTCATGCCATCTCATGGTGCCCACCAGCCCCTCACCATCTCATGGTGCCCACCAGCCCCTCACCATCTCATGGTGCCCACCAGCCCCTCACCATCTCATGTCAACCCGCATCTCTGGTCATGCCCCGCGCTGACAAGCAGGTTGTGATCGTGCGAGAGAGTGCACAGCCTACCAACCTGCCAACATGCCAACTAACTACCAGCCAACCAACCCACAACACCAGCACTGCACCAGCCACCCTCACCTTGAGCTTCTGGTCGTGCCCCGCGCTCACAAGCAGGTTGTGATCGTGAGAGAGTGCTGCGGGGGGAAGGGGGGAAGGTGGGTGTGCATGGTTACATGACAGATGGGGAGGTCACAAGGTGGAAAGAGGGAAAAGCACAGCGTCTCCAACTTGAACCGATTACAGCCATCGCGTAGCATTGGAATAACAATGAGCTTTCCAAAAGGCACTTCAACACGCAAAGTCGACTTTTGAGTAAGAGATTCAACCAAAACCCAAGTTGAACCTATTATGGCTATAAGCGCAGGATTGGAATGAGCAGCAGCTCATAGCCACACCAGGTAATACACAGAGCATCTCCATAGCAGCAGTGTTGGTTGACTTTTGAGGCGCAAAAAAACAAGACTCCCGGGACGCCTAGAAAAACACTAGTTTTAAGTCGCCTAGAAATACACTAGTTTTGAGTCGCCTAGAAGAACACAACTTCTGAGGTGCCTAAAAAAAGCGCAGCATAGCATATCCAAAGCATGAAAGGCTGGCCGTGTCATCACTCACTGCCACGCCATAGCATACAGTTGCCATCCCCCACCCAACCCATGTTATCGCAGCAGCACCGGCAGCCACTGACCCAGTGCGTCCACAGCAGCGTCAGTGTGTGAGCCGACGAAATGGAGAAAGCAATCATCAGGGACACAGCATTCAAGTGACACGGAGTGCCATGATGACATGTTATCCCAGCCTTAGTTACCACGACCACCCACCCAGTGCCTCCACAGCAGCGTCGGTGTGTGAGCCCACGACGTCTAGAAAGCGGTTCGGGAAGACAGAGACAACTCGAATGAGCCCGTCGGAGCAGGCAGTGAGTAGCGTGTCATCGTCCAGCTGGTGGGGAAAGAGGGCACGTAGGGTTGGAGAAACAAGGGGGCGTAGAGGGCAAGAACAGGAAGACAGATACCACTCGGATCACCCCATCAGAGCAGGCTGTGAGTAGCGTGTCATCGTCCAACTGGTGGGAAAAAGGGTATGGGGGGGAGGGGGGGAGTGGGGGCGGGGAGGCTAAGAGGAGGGGAGTGGGGGGGGGAGGCTAAGAGACAGAGACGAATCGAATGAGCCCATTGGAGCATGCAGTGAGTCGAATACACATTGCTGTCATTGCCCAGCTGAAGCATGGTGGAGCCGCAACTGGAGGTGACTTTTGAGTCGACTCAAAAGTCACTTTGTGTCATTGCCCAGCTGAAGCATGGTGGAGCCGCAACTGGAGGGGACAGGAGGGGAGGGGAGACAGGAGACGATGGGCGGGGAGCGGGGAGGATGAGGAGGTGGTAAGAGAGGATAATGTTTCTGAAAACTCTATCCAAGAAAGCTGCCGGCACATCAGACATCAGTTCGGTTCAGACCGTTTTTTCAAACAGGGAATTCAGTTTTTCCAGCCACTTAGCCCTTGAAAAGAGGTAGAGAAGAGAGAAAGGAGGAAGGAGAGAGAGGAAAGGAGGTAGGAGGAAGGAAAGGAGGTAGGAGGAAGGAAAGGAGGTAGGAGGAAGGAAAGGAGGTAGGAGGAGGGAAAGGAGGTAGGAGGAGGGAAAGGAGGTAGGAGGAAGGAAAGGAGGTAGGAGGAGGGAAAGGAGGTAGGAGGAAGGAAAGGAGGTAGGAGGAAGGAAAGGAGGTAGGAGGAAGGAAAGGAGGTAGGAGGAAGGAAAGGAGGTAGGAGGAGGGAAAGGAGGTAGGAGGAGGGAAAGGAGGTAGGAGGAAGGAAAGGAGGTAGGAGGAAGGAAAGGAGGTAGGAGGAGGGAAAGGAGGTAGGAGGAAGGAAAGGAGGTAGGAGGAAGGAAAGGAGGTAGGAGGAAGGAAAGGAGGTAGGAGGAGGGAAAGGAGGTAGGAGGAAGGAAAGGAGGTAGGAGGAAGGAAAGGAGGTAGGAGGAAGGAAAGGAGGTAGGAGGAAGGAAAGGAGGTAGGAGGAAGGAAAGGAGGTAGGAGGAAGGAAAGGAGGTAGGAGGAGGGAAAGGAGGTAGGAGGAAGGAAAGGAGGTAGGAGGAAGGAAAGGAGGTAGGAGGAAGGAAAGGAGGTAGGAGGAAGGAAAGGAGGTAGGAGAGAGGAAAGGAAGAGAGGCACTCACAGGCAAAATGGCATCCACTGAACCTCCGTGACCTCGAAAGCGATCACTGTGGATGGTGGAGGAGAGGGAAGAGGGAAGAGGGAGAGGGAAAGGGAAGAGGGAAGAGGGAAGAGGGAGTGGGAAGCGGCGAGGAAAGAGGGGAGGAGGGAAAACGGAAAGAGGGAAGCGGAGAAGGAAGAGGAAAGTGGGGACTACAGGCATGGAAGAACGCAAGGGATGGGAGGAGATATAAGAGGAAATCAGAATTGACCAGTTGACATTGTCATTCACTCACTCACTCACTCACTCACTCACTCGCTCGCTCGCTCGCTCACTCGCTCCTCCCACACCCAGCCATGTCCGAATCAGAGTAGCCCTCTTTGAAAGTCACAGTCACATATGCTATCACTCTTGTCATGCTCCATCACATCACATCACATCACATCACATCACATCACATCACATCACACTCGCAATTGACAGTCTCACTTCTCATACTCTCTCTCGCCTGTTCCATCCTCCACTCATGTTGACAAAAAAGGGCATCCGCTTTGAAAGTCATAGGCTCAACTCAAATGCAGCCACACTTCAATACGGCTTACTCTCATAAATTGCCTTGCTCATAACATCACACTCACTTGTCACGCTCGGCTCCAATCATATTGAAGAAGTATAGCAGCCCACTCTAAGACATGCATGCTCAAGTGGTGGCACACTTCAATACTGTCCCATTTAAATACTGTCACACTATTCAACTGTCACACTTCAATACTGTCACAGCATCTCCTGCTCATAACATCACACTCACTTGTCCCGCTCGGCTCCATTCATATTGAAGAAGTACAGCAGCCCGCTCTGAGAGCCACAGACCACCTTGGAATCGCTCTGGTGAGGGGGGGGGAGGAGAGGATAATGGGGTGGGGAGCACGAAATCAGGGAGGGGATATGGGATGGTGGAGTAGGTAAGGGAGGAGAAAAAGGTCAAGGGAGGGGATAAGTCAGGTTTTATGAGGAGCAGTCTTACAACAGGCGCAAATGAACCACAGATGCATCTTTGGATGGATGCACATATGCATGCACACACCAACACACACACTCACACACCAACACACACACTCACACACCAACACACACACGCACACACCAACACACACACGCACACACCAACACACACACTCACACACCAACACACACACGCACACACCAACACACACACTCACACACCAAAACACACACGCACACACCAACACACACACGCACACACACGCACACACATGTTCGCACGCACACACATGCTCGCACTTTGACTGGGACGAAAGAGATAAGGTCATCATATGTGCTGTCGGTGCATGCTGTGAGCTGCAGGGTGCGTTGGCGGGGGCGAGTGGTGTGAGCAGGTCACACACACACATACACACACATACACACATGCACACACGTCCACACACGTGCACACACGTGCACACATGCACACATGCACATGCATGTACACATGCACACATGCACACATGCACATGCATGTACACATGCACACATGCACACATGCACATGCATGTACACATGCACACATGTACACATGCACACATGCACATGCACACACCCATGCATGCATGCTCGTACCTTGACTGCTACAATGGAGAGCAGATCGTCATCTGTGCTATCCGCGTGTGCTGTGATCAGTGCGGCACATTGATGGGGGCGAGTGGTGTGAGCAGGTCACACACATTCACACATTAATTCACACATGCAACATGCATGCATGGATGAACCTTGACTGCTACAATGGAGAGCAGATCGTCATCTGTGCTATCCGCGTGTGCTGTGATCAGCGCGGCACATTGATGGGGGCGAGTGGTGTGAGCAGGTCACACACATTCACACATTAATTCACACATGCAACATGCATGCATGGATGAACCTTGACTGCGACAATGGAAAGCAGATCGTCATCTGTGCTATCCGCGTGTGCTGTGATCAGCGCGGCACATTGATGGGGGCGAGTGGTGTGAGCAGGTCACACACATTCACACATTAATTCACACATGCAACATGCATGCATGGATGAACCTTGACTGCGACAATGGAAAGCAGATCGTCATCTGTGCTATCCGCGTGTGCTGTGATCAGCGCGGCACATTGATGGGGGCGAGTGGTGTGAGCAGGTCACACACATTCACACATTAATTCACACATGCAACATGCATGCATGGATGAACCTTGACTGCTACAATGGAGAGCAGATCGTCATCTGTGCTATCCGCGTGTGCTGTGATCAGCGCGGCACATTGATGGGGGCGAGTGGTGTGAGCAGGTCACACACATTCACACATTAATTCACACATGCAACATGCATGCATGGATGAACCTTGACTGCGACAATGGAAAGCAGATCGTCATCTGTGCTATCCGCGTGTGCTGTGATCAGCGCGGCACATTGATGGGGGCGAGTGGTGTGAGCAGGTCACACACATTCACACATTAATTCACACATGCAACATGCATGCATGGATGAACCTTGACTGCGACAATGGAAAGCAGATCGTCATCTGTGCTGTCTGTGTGTGCTGTGAGCTGCACGGCACGGCGCATTGATGGGCGGCAGTGGTGTGAGCAGGTCACACGTATTCACACATGGTCCCATGCATGCATGCATGCATGCATGCTCGCACCTTGACTGCCACGATGGAGAGCAGGTCGTCATCTGTGCTGTCCGTGTGCGCTGTGAGCTGCACGGTGGATTGGTAGAGGGGGAGAGGGAGGGAGGGAGGGAGGGAGGGAGGGAGGGAGGGAGGGAGGGAGGGAGGGAGGGAGGGAGGGAGGGAGGGAGGGAGGGAGGGAGGGAGGGAGGGAGGGAGGGATGGATGGAGGGAGGAAGGGAGGGAGGGAGGGATTGAGGGATTGAGGGAGGGAGGAAGGGAGGGAGGGACGGAGGGAGGGAGGGAGGGAGGGAGGGAGGGAGGAAGGGAGGGAGGGAGGAAGGGAGGGAGGGAGGGATTGAGGGATTGAGGGAGGGAGGAAGGGAGGGAGGGAGGGAGGGAGGGAGGGAGGGAGGGAGGGAGGGAGGGAGGGAGGGAGGGAGGGAGGGAGGGAGGGAGGGAGGGAGGGATAGAAGGTGGAAAGGAAGGGTCAACTTTACAAGAATACATGCAACACATGCCTAGCACACCACACTCAAACACCGATTCAGCACATACACACAGAGATGGCTCACTCTGTTGGTTGATTTTTAGGCCCAACACACGCCTAGCGCACGCCCAGCACAAGCCCAACACACGCCCAACACAGCACAATTTCAACACAAATACAAGAATCATGAAATAAACCCTAGAAGACTCACTCTGTTCGTCGCCAAGTCAACAACAGCCATGGAGCCATCGCCACTGGCGGCAAGCAGGCGGTTGCAGGTAGGGAGGGGCGAACCAACACACGCCCAACACACGCCCAACACACGCCCAACACACGCCCAACACACTTACTCTATTAGTTGCGAGGTCGACAACAGCCATGGAGCCATCGCCACTGGCGGCAAGCAGGCGGTTGCAGGCGGGGAGGGGGCGGATGTGAGTGAGATAGTCCGATGCCACGTGCACGGTCGCTGTGCTGCCTGCTGCACCGCCGTCCTGCCTCAAGTCCCACAGCTGCACATAAGGATATAAACAAACACACACGCGCACGGACAGGCGGGGAGGGGGCGGATGTCAGTGAGATGGTCCGATGCCACTTGCACGGTCGCTGTGCTGCCCACTGCACCGCCGTCCTGCCTCAAGTCCCACAGCTGAGAGGCACACAGGTGATGAGAGGGAGGGGACGAATGTGAGTGAGATGGTCCGATGCCACTTGCACGGTCGCTGTGCTGCCCACTGCACTGCCGCCCTGCCTGAGATCCCATAACTGGAGGAAAGGAAAAGAGCACATCGTGAACAAGCACACACCGACATACACAGAGTCACACAGGAGTGGAAGGGCCGAATGTCGGTGAGATAGTTCGATGCTACTTGCACCGTGGCTGTGCTGCCCACTGCACTGCCATCCTGCCTGAGATCCCAAAACTGGAGGAGAAGAGAGCATAATGACCAAGCACACATAGAGGCGCACAGGGATAAGGAGGGGAGCTCGGATGTCAGTGAGATAAGTCCGATGCCACGTGCACGGTCGCTGTGCTGCCTGCTGCACTGCCGTCCTGCCTCAAGTCCCACAGCTGGAGAAGGAGCATACAAGCAAGCGCAGAGGTAGACAAAGGAGGGGAGGGATGAGATGCCAGAAAAAGGTAGTGACATGACATCCCACAACTGCAGACATGAGACGTAAGGCATGCACGCATGGCCGCTGTTGACTCACCTGGACCGCTGTTGACTCACGTTGACCGTTGTTGACTCATGTTGACCGCTGTTGACTCATGTTGACCGCTGTTGACTCATGTTGATCGCTGTTGACTCACGTTGACCACTGTTGACTCACCTGGACCACCTTGATTGTTGTTGACCCATCTTGACCGCCTTGACTCACCTTGACTGTGCCGGAATCATCACCAGATGCCACACAGGAGTCACCCCAACATGCCAACCGGTTGATTCCCTCACTGCACACAGAGAGAGCGGAGTGGGAAACAAACAGATCACACAGAGCAGGGGAAATCAGCATGCCTCCTACTTGAAGTTGAAAAAGATCAGTGCATGAATAAGGCGATCCCTGTAACCACAGATTTGCGCCCCGTCTCAACGTCTCGAACCACAATGGACTTGTCTGCTGCTGCTGACACCACAACTGGGGGGGTGAGGAGGGTGTGTGAAAGAAAACAAGGGAGGGGGGAGAGGGGGGAGACCTTTTCAGGAGCCTCAAACGTGACTTGCTCCCCCGTCTCCACGTCTTGAACCACAATAGACTTGTCTGCTGCTGCTGACACCACAACTGGGGGGGTGAGGAGGGTGTGTGAAGATGATAAGGCACGGTGTGTGTGTGAAGATGATAAGGATGGGAAAGGGAACTCGGGCGGGAGGGTGGATGGGGGGTTACAAAAAGAGAGCAGATGTCACGAGGGTTTTCTAGGCCTTCAAAGTATCCTATCCCCTCCATTCCACAAGCATCAGGAGTAAGTAGCAGGCAGCGTAAGGTTTATGCCCCTCCAAGCATCCATACTGATGTACAGAAGCAGCAACCAGAAAGTGACACACACCTCAGCAGCACCAACCCCAGCACCACACACCCCCAGCAGCACCACACACCCCCAGCACCACCACACACCCTCAGCAGCACACCACACACCCCCAGCAGCACACCACACACCCTCAGCAGCACACCACACACACCCAGCAGCATCACACATCCCCAGCAGCATCACACACCCCCAGCAGCACCATGCACACCCCCAGCAACCAGCACTCACATCGGCCATTGGCAGCAAATCGTGCAGCTCGGCAGGAGTCGGTGTGGCCCCTCTTCTTCCACTTGCTGCTCGTGGGTGCAGTGGGGTGCGGTGCAAAGGGGTGAGGTGCAAAGGGGTGAGGTGCAAAGGGGTGAGGTGCAAAGGGGTGAGGTGCAAAAGGGTGAGGAGCGAAGGGTGAGACTGGGTACTATACCTTGCCAATTCTTCTTTCGCATAAGCCTGCCTGCCAGGCTACTCTTCAACTCTAACTGCATAAGCCTGGCTGAACACAGTAGGTGTGGCGGTGGCAATGGGGTGCGTGATATTGGCAATGGAGAGTGGGCGTACCTTTCGAATTGCAGTGTGGTAGGATCGACATTGAGACTGGGAGAGAGAGTGGGGTGGCAGGGGGGAAGGGGAGGGGAGGCAGTGAGGCTATGGAAAAGCATGGATTGGTGGAGGAGTGGACGGTGGGTGCCTTGCCACACGTGCCCCATGACAGGCTTGCGTGCAGTCTGTGCCACACCCAAATCCTAAACCCTACACCTCCCATTTACATTGCATGCATCTGTGTCGTACCCAGAACCCAAAACCCTGAACCCGGCGCTTGCACGCAATTGTAGACGTTTACACTGCGTATGTGCACACATTGCAACCATGCATGTGAAATTGCCACGGCCAAGTTTTCGCCTCTGCTGCAAACCTCAAACCCAAACCCTTGAACAAAATTCTTTAGCCTTGAATGCCCTGAACCGATATCCAGTCTCCCGCACAGGACCCCATGGCCAACGGAAGCACCCCACGACCATGAATTTAAATTTGACGCCTCTGCTCTGAACAGTGACGTCACAAAACATGCATTCCCCGCGCCTATCCTGCCTGTCTCATATCCGATCTCGAATTCCCCCTTCATTTTACCGCTTACAGCTGCACGACACCCGAGATGAAGGAGACGCTGAGCAGGTGAGCCGTCGGATGGAAGTCCACATCGAACGGCTGAAACGCCACCTTGAGCGCGTTCGAGGCTCGGCGCGATGCGGCACCTTCTCGTGCCATTATCGCGTGGGTAACCAGTGGGGAGGGGCCTGGGCGAAATGACTCTTAGATCGAAGCGGAACCAGGGGAAGGCTAACCCAAGGGACGGGACGAGAGAAGAGGGGCCTATGCGAGATCAGATGACTCTTGAGTTGACTCAAAAGACACTTTGAAGAATAACCAGGAGAGAGGACCCTCGGCGAAGTGGCTCTTATGTCGAAGCGAAACCAGGGGACGGGTAACGAGGTCTCTTTTTATGGATGGTTTGCAACGCAATTAGTGATCAGTTTAGCTTCTGCGTTGGATTGGATTTTTGTACGTTATTCAAGGTTCTAGCTATTCGTATCCTAGAAAAATCATTCATGCCGCAACCTAAAAATGCTTTCCGCAAGCTCCGCCATCAGGCGGCCATGGATTCTACCGACATTGACCAAGTCAACATTCTCGCTTCAATGCTTCTCGCATACGTCTGCTGCTGTCCTTCCTAAGGATGGTTGGGTGTAACCCTGTTTCCAGCTGACCATTGTTTGACCCCCACAAACCAGTGTCGCTGTCAATCACCAAACGAATGTACTGTAGTAACGACACCAGCCCAATTGGGTTTCATCGCACAACTTGGTCGCCCAACACCAACCTGCATAGGCAGGAAAACACAGGGGAGAGAAACATGTCCCAAAACGCCCGTGCTCAGTCCCGAGTGTAGAGAGCCACTATTAGACGACTAGAGCCAGCCAACTAGCCGGACAACCGCTTTGCACGCGCGGGCGATTCTCGAAAAACCTAAGGTGGGCATCGATAAGCGTCTGATTGGGCGAGGGAGGCGGAATATACTGGCGTAATAGCAGAATATGGCGACATTGCACTTATACATTGAAAAGGGCGGGATTACGCAGTGGAACAGTGGCGTGGCGGTTTTACGACGACAACCCTCGTCGAACGTGTCACAATAGGCTGTCCCACGCGGTCCGCTAATCGACACAGCGAAAATGGTGGAAAATAGAGGCAAATGTCACACGCATTTCTCCTAAACCGATCCTCTGACAAATCCCTCTCTTACCTTTCGTCGCGCGCCGCGGTCAAAAGGGCCTTCACAATCACTTGGTCACAGCCGCCCCCACGCACTCGCTGCGCCGCATAAGCGCCGTGTCGTTTAGGGTTACCGCTTTCACAAGACATTGGCGCATTGGCCGCATGCGCTCTGCAGCGATCACTTAGCGGCATGCGCGCTGCCCAATGCGCCCCATCGCGAGAGCAAATCCGCAATCGGATTTCCCTCATCCTCTCCGCCGCGTTCTGCCCGCGGCATACGCGGCGCTGCATCATCCCTATCACTAATACGCCCTCTCATTCACCATTCCACATCCCCCCTGCCTCATTCGCCTTACATCATCCCCCCAACTACAAGAGCAGATTGCGTGCGTGCCAACAGGGGAGCGAGGCAGGAGGGTTACCGTACGAAGACAATCGCAACAGTGAGCTCCGCCTCACTCTCCCCCTCTCATTCTCCCTCCCTTGCGCTCCCCCATTCAATCTCCAACCCTCGACCTCCCCCTCTGATTCTCCCTCCCTCGACCTCCCCTTCTCATTCTCCCGCCCTCGACCTCCCCCTCTGATTCTCCCTCCCTCGCGCTCCCCCATTCAATCACCAACCCTCGACCTCCCCCTCTCATTCTCCCTCCCTCGCGCTCCCCCTCTCATTCTCCCCCTCTGATTTATGGTGAGGCAGGGTCAGAGGTGAGGGCGATCGGAAGGCGTGGGAGAGTGCTAATGCCACGGGTACTGCAACACCCCAGTGTCCCACCTGTGGTCATGGGCATGCGGGCGGGTATGTGCATAGGCATGGGCGGTGTCCATTACTTGGGCTCCCCCTTCAGCGTTGGCAGGCAGCGGGGGGTGATGGTGAAGTAGTGCCTGCTCTTCCGTCGACCATGCATCTCCCGTCCATGCGTCCATGCTCCCTGTCCCTGACAGCCGTTCTCTCTCTCTCTGCTCTCTCCCCCTTACATTCTCCCTCGCCCCTTGGCCCCCACGCATTCCACCTTCTGTGCCCCTCTAATGTTCACCAAGTATGTTATGTTGTAAATGGGAGGACAAAGGGGGAGTGCAGTGCGGGGGCAGTGTGAAGCGGAAGAAGAAATTACATCAAGAGTGGCATTGCAAGGAAGGGACAAATGAGGCTAGGGGCTGGGGATAGGGGTGCTCCGTTGGCTACTATATGCATGCCCCGTGTGTTTCGTAGTCTCATTCACTGAATAGGTCCTAGTCAACACCAGACACAGCTGATCTAACTTTGTTAGGCATCACTCATGATGTGTCTTGTACGACCGCCACAGTAACTGACTAAAGGCAGCCAATGTGAGCTTGACTCTCGTAGTCTTTCCTTGATACCATCGCCTCCACACATGTCACATGTCGGTATGCCACTGGGTTGCATTATAGAACTTGTACGGCCTTTTCCCAATCATCAACGTAAGAATCTGCGTATCAACGGATGTTATGTGATCGCTGGTTACACTACCACTTTGAACAGAAGCACATTGCCAAACTCTGGATCGTGATAAGATGACTACCGTGGTATTACAAAGCACTTCCTTCACTACCACCTCCTCTCTCCCCCACTACATCCTCTTCCACCTGTTACTACTCTTCCTCCTCTTCAGTCTCCCCTCCCCCACGAGTGTGGTGTGGACGTGAATGCATGCCGGGGGGCGCATGGCTAAGGGTACATTCCGCTGTGGACACTGTCCCAATCGATGTGTCCCAATCGAGTGTACCGCTCCAAACCGAACTAAACCAGAGACGCGAAAATTTCGAAACTAGGGTGCAATTTGGTGTAATACGATGCAGTGCGGTAGAAACGATTGGGACACATCGATTGGGACATGGTCCACAGCGGAATGTACCCTAAGGTGTCGCTGAGGGCAATGCGGGTTCAGCAAAAGACCTAATCCCGGCAGGACAGAGCAGTGGCACGGGTGGAGAGTGATGGGAGGACAAAGTGAGCTAGTGGAGTGCGGAGTTCGGGAATGACAGAGGGATAGAGAGGTCAGCGTGTGCGGCGGACAGAAGGAGCTGGGTGTGTGAGAGAGCAATGGACAGATGGAGCAAGGTGTGTGCGAGTGCAAAGGTAAGAGAGAGCATGGTGTGTAGGCGTGCACCATTTAGGAGTGAGGTCAAGGGAGGGTAGGAGTGGGGGAAAGGGACGGTAGGAGGGGGGGAAAGGGAGGATGACAGGTGGGGAAAGGGAGGATGACAGGGGGGGAAAGGGAGCATAGGAGTGAGGGAAAGGGACGGTAGGAGGGGGGGAAAGGGAGGGTAGGAGGGGGGGAAAGGGAGGGTAGGAGGGGGGGAAAAGGAGGAATGGAGGGGGGGAAAGAGAGGATGACAGGGGGGGAAAGGGAGGATGACAGGGGGGTAAAGGGAGCATAGGAGTGGGGGAAAGGGAGGGTAGGAGGGGGGGAAAGGGAGAATAGGAGGAAGGGAAAGGGAGGGTAGGAGGGGTGGAAAGGGAGGATGACGGGGGGGATGGTCTGGGAATGGATAGGAAGGTAAGGGAAGAGAAGGGATGGGAAAGGCAGGGAAGGGAAGGGATAGGTAGGGACGGGAGGGGAATGGATGGTAAGGGCGGGGAAGGGAAGGGTCGTGATACGGAAGGCAGGGATGGTAGCGGAAGAGTAACGGGAGGGAAGTGCATGGAAACTAGGGGAGATGGGTGACCAAGGTGGTAGACTGACGGAGGTTGAAGGGATGGGAAGGGAAGGGAAGGAATGGAGGGGGGGGGGGGAGGGAATGGAAGGGGAGAGAAAGTCACCGTACTGGCAGGGAAGGGACATTAGCGGAATGGAAAGGAATCTAAGAGAAGCATAAGCAAGTCTAGGGAAGGTAACGGATAGGGAAGGGAAGGGAGGGGCAATGAAAGCAAGGCCGAGTGAGGGGAGGGAAGGGGATGTGGACGACGGACCGTCGACACCGGAGGTGTGAGGGGATCGTGGGACCGAGGCTTGAGGGAAGCTAAGCGAATCCGCGTGAGCCTAAAGTACATGCTGCTGCCGATTCGTGTGAATCGCGACGTGAGCGCCATTCCGCATTGGCGCGTGGGCTCCACCATTTATCGTGGCGCGGGATATTTTCTTTCGCGGCGTAACGTCCTCAACGCACGTTCAAACGCTACTCGCGGGGTAAGAGACAGGAATCGCAGCTCGCCAGCTGTTGTACTTACGGGCGTTTTCGAGGCTGGCTAGCCTGCACTTATAATTAACCGCGTTAGGAATCCTTGCCGTCGCATAGCTTTGTGCACGCTTTCCTAAACCCACGCCGTCTTATTGGACGCGCGTGCACTTTGCCCTTGCTCTGCGGTCAGCTTCCTAGCTACTGGTAGTCGGTGAAGTTTCATAAACTACAATGCAGTGACGTGGTGTTGGGAAATTGTGTTGAGACAGGTTGCTGTGAAGTGTCGCTTTAGGCTGTGTGCGATTGATGAGTGCGTAAGGTACTTGTCGCATGTAAACCATGGTAACATTGGCGAACCTGCGCAAGTACACGAACATCCCCTCACAAACTCGACACTTCCTCAGTTCGCGGGCCAATCACGTTTTCAATCCCAACCAACCTTCCTAAGGTTTGGAAAGACAGAGACGACTCGAATGAGCCCATCGGAGCACGCTGTGAGTAGCGTGTCATCGTCCAGCTAATGGGGCATGAGGGGTATGGGGTGGAGGAGGGGAGTGGAAGGGGGGGGGTGGGCGGGGGGGGGGGGGGACGACTAAGAGAGAGACCGAGACGACTCGAATGAGCCCATCGGAGCAGGCTGTGAGTAGCGTGTCATCGTCCAGCTGATGGGGAATGAGAGCATAAGGGGAGGGGAGGGCATGTGGCAGGAGGGCAAGGGGGCACGAGACAGCTTGAAAGAGCCCATGGGAGCAGGCTGCAAGCAGTGGATGGTCGTCCAGCTGGGAGAGCGTGTGGGGCCGGAGAATGAGGGCATGGGAGCATGTGAGGCAGGAAGGGGGAGCAGTGTGCGTGGACGAGAGGCAGGCTGTGAGCAGCGCCTTGTCGTCCAGCTGGGAGAGCATGTGGGGCCGGAGAATGAGGGAGAATGAGGGCATGGGAGCACGTGAGGCAGGAAGGGGGAGCAGTGTGCGTGGACGAGAGGCAGGCTGTGAGCAGTGCGGAACGGCACTGTTCAGCTGAAGAATGAAAAGTAGGGGTCGGGATGGGTGGAGAGGGATTGGAATGGGGAGGAGGTAGGAGACGATGGGAGGGGAGGGGAGGATGATGAAATGAGATGAGGAGGTTAGAGTGGACAGGCAGCATTCTTACACATCCAAAAGAGGCAACGGAAAGAGGAAAGGGCGGCGCAGAGAGAGGCAAGGAAGTTGAGGCACTCACAGGCACAATGGCATCTACTGAACCTCCGTGACCTCGAAAGCGATCACTGTAGACGGTGGAGGAGAGGGAAGAGGGGAGAGGGAAGTGGGAAGAGGGTAGAGGAGAGGAAGCGGGACAAGGAAAGAGTGATGACAGGCATGGAAGAACGAAGTGCAAGGGAAATATTTGGATGCCTTTACTTACCACGACACTCGTTATGGTCACTCACCCACTCACCTCACAGCAGTTCGTGTCTGAATGGTATGCATTCATGTCTGAAAGAAAGTGGACCGCTTCAAAAGTCACCAAGTCACGTGCTGAAATCACTTTTGAGAAGTCTCAAAAGCGACCTCACTCGTGTCTCCCTCCATAGCATCACACTTGTTACAGCCACAGTCAGTCATCATGCTGCACAATATCACAATTGCTAGCTAGTACTCTTTCCCCACTCATGTTGAAACAAAGAACAGTTCCGCTGGAAAATTCATGAGCTCATTCGCTGCCTTTTCATTCTGACGCACTTCTTTACTGTCACAAATTGTCCGGCTCATAGATTTTTCAAATTCTCGGAAATTTACTTTTTGAGAATTCTTCAAAAAAAAAAAAATTGTCACAAATTGCGGTGCTCATGAGATCACACTCACTTGTCCTGCTCTGCTCCATTCACGTTGAAGAAGGAACGAAACCGCTCTGGGAGCACAGGCTGCTGCAATTCCAAACTGTCGCAACACTCATAGCATCACACTCATTTGTCCCGCTCTGCTCCATTCATGTTGAAAAAGTAGAGCAGCCCTCTCTGAGAGCCACACACGACCTTGGAGTCGCTCTGGGGGGTTGATACGGGGGGAGATGGGAAGGAGAGAATAAGAGGAAAAGGGTGGGACATGATCGTCACACGAGCGGGTGTTGAAAAAGTACAGCAACCCGCTCTGAGAGCCACACACGACCTTACGGGAGGGCAGGGGAGAGAATAGAAGCTATCACTTCCGCATAACCCGGACCACAATAGACTTGTCTGCTGCTGCTGACACCACAACTGGAAGAACGAGGGGGGTGTGTGAAAAGTTACAAGGGAAGGGTTGGGAAGGTGGGGTGGGCTTGAGACGCCTCAAACCATGACAATGCATTCGCTCCCCCGTCTCCACGTCTCGATCCAAAATGGACTTGTCTGGGACGGGATGGACCAATGCTGTCTGCTGACACCACATCTGGGGGGTTGAGGAGGGTATGTGAAGATGATAAGGGAGGTGTGTGAAGATGATAAGGGAGGTGTGTGAAGATGATAAGGGAGGTGTGTGAAGATGATAAGGGAGGTGTGTGAAGTGAAGATGATAAGGATGGGAAAGGGAACTCGGGCAGGAGGGTGGATGGGGGGTTACAAAAAGAGAGCAGATGTCACGAGGGTTTTCTAGGCCTTAAAAGTATCATATCCCCTCCATTCCACAAGCATCAGGAGTAAGTAGCAGACAGCATGAGCTCTATGTCCCTCCAAGCATCCATACTGAAGCAGCAACCAGAAAGCTACACACCTCAGCAGCACCAACCCCAGCACCACACACCCCCAGCACCACCACACACCCCCAGCAGCACCACACACCCCCAGCACCACCACACACCCTCAGCAGCACCATGCACACCCCCAGCAACCAGCACTCACATCGGCCATTGGCAGCAAATCGTGCAGCTCGGCAGGAGTTGGTGTGGCCCCTCTTCTTCCACTTGCTGCTCGTGGGTGCAGTGGGGTGGGGTGCAAAGGGGTGCGGTGCAAAGGGGTGAGATGGTGAGGTGCAAAGGGGTGAGGTGCAAAGGGGTGAGGTGCAAAAGGGTGAGGAGCGAAGGGTGAGACTGGGTACAATACCTTGCCAATTCTTCTTTTGCATAAGCCCGCCTGCCACGCTACTCTTTAACTCTAACTGCTATGGCTGAACACTATGGGTGTGGCGGTGGCAATGGAAAGTGCGCGATAATGGCAATGGGGTACATGATAATGGCAATGGGGTGCGTGATGATGGCAATGGGGAGTGGGCGTACCTTTCGAATTGCAGTGTGGTAGGATCGACTTTGAGTCTGGGACAGAGAGTGGGGTGGCAGGGGGAAGGGGAGGGGAGGCAGTGAGGCAATGGCAAAGCATGGATTGGTGGAGGAGTGGACGGTGGGTGCCTTGCCAGACGTGCCCCATGTCAACGCATGCGTGCATTCTGTGCCACACCCTAAAACCGCAACCCTACACCCCTCATTTACAGTGCATGCATCTGTGACATTTCCAAAACCCGAAACCTTGAACTCCTCCCGTGCACGCACTTGTAGACGTTTACACTGCGCGTGTGCACGCATAACAAACATTACAACCCTAAATCGTCAAGGCCAAGTTCTCGCCTCTGCTGCAAACCTCAAACCTGAAACCTTGACCCATATTAGTTGGCCTTAAATGCCCTGAACTTAACAATCTAAACCCAGGATTTGATCGCACCCACCGGAATCCATGATCGAAGAAAGCACCCCACGACCATAAATCTAAAATGGACGCCTCTGCTCTGAAGCGTGACGTCACAAAACCGGAATTCCCCTCCAATCCTGCATGTCTTATGATCGATCTCGCATTTTCTCGTTACCGCTTACAGCTGCACAACACCTTTTACAGCTACACTACTTACGCAACACTCGCAACCTTCAAAATCTCGCATTCCCCCTTCGTTTTACTACTTACAGCTGCACGACACCCGAGATGAAGGAGACTCTGAGAAGGTGAGCCGTCGGATGGAGGTCTACATCGAACGGCTGAAACGCCACCTTCAGCGCGTTCGAGGCTCGGCGCGCTGTGGCGCCTTCTCGTGCCATTGCCCGCGAGGAGGATAACCAGGGGAAACGAGCCTCTCGGGCTATGAGGCAGAAAAAAACGAACGGGATAGAAAGGTTCACGAAAACGTAGGGCGGACTAATATGTGGACGAAAACGCACGGGAAGCAGTGACGGACTAGGGTCTGACACTACGGTTCCGTGTAATCGGTGCTTCGGGACGCACTGGAGCGAGATGAGTCCGATATTAGCGTTGTCCCACGTGAGCTTTGACACTAGTGTTCGCCCCCGCGCAATGCCCGGCGATGGCGTTCACAACAAGTTCGCTCAAAGCGAACCGCGCTCAAGCCCCCCAAAAGTGCAGATTTTTTTGTACAGTGAGGCAGTAACTCGATTCAAGCACACCCACCCCACGTGCCCAGCGACGGGTCTGACGACCATCGCACAACCCAAACAGCAAACTTCCACCCAATCACATGCATTCGGAAGAAACGGTTATGCGACTGTAACTTGGCGGAAACCGTTGTTCAGTATACGGCAAGAATAAAAAGCTGCTGGAGGGAAACGTCCAACCGTTCACCGAATTGTCCCGCCACATACTCCAAAATTTGGAAAAATTGGAGCGGCACGAACTCAAACCCAACTCCTGTCGACTCGAACAACCCGTGCGGCCACTGCCATCCGAAATTCACTAGGGCCCCAAGAAGAATACAAGTACTGGGTGAACGGCCGACTAGCTTCATTCATATCCTTCCGCCTCTTAGGTTCCTTCCACCCAATCCAGCAAAATGTCTTCCTCCTCTCGTCGCCAGAATGATAATAGAGCTATTGATACTCCTACCGATGAGGAGGCGCCGTCTGTCACTCCGTATGTCGCATGGTTGCGAGAGCAGGAGGCACTTGGTGTGAAGCGCATTCGTTTAGTAGGCTTGTCGAATGACTCGTCCTAACAACGATCCCGAAGCCACTCAGGTCCTTCTGGTGAGTCGGCGCCATCCAACGGTGGAGAAACATCCAGGACAGATGCGGAATCTTTTAACGACACCGACGGCTACAACGCCATCTACACCCCACAGCCAACGGAATCGGACAATCGTAGCACGGCTGATCCTAACGTCACCACGCCAAAGAAAGGGAAGCGCAAGGTTGAGGGCGCTGGCTCCAAGAAAGAGTCTTGGGACCCATGAGAGCTCACGGACTTTGCTGCATGTATGTGGTCGACCAAAGAAGATTTTGAGATGCTCAAAGGGAAGCAAGGTACCCAAAGGTGGCAGAGGATCGAGTTTCTATTACAGCGTCAAAATTCCAACTGGAGGCGTCCCGCTTATGCGTTGGAGAAGCAGTGGACCCGACTGAAGGCACGTATGAACGAAATTAAGGAAGCTGATGCGAAATCCGGGAACCACCCTATGCCCAAACCGGATTGGTACGAATACGTCTACAACTACTTCAATTCCGACCGGGCCCCGAACCCGCACGTCATTGACGAGGGAGGTGCCCGGACTGAGAATGCAACACCGTCAAACGATTCGACCTCCCAACCTGCACGCACCAAACGTACGGGTACGTATCATTGAATGTTCTGGAATAACAATGTGAACCATGGATACATGTCGTATTCGAATAACTAGAATCACTCCTACCCAGCAAAATTAATATGCTCATCTTACACGTTCCTCCCTGCCCCCTTTCTAAACCACACACATTCCAGAGAGTCAGAGTGCGCCAAGACGACCATCCATCCCGAGACGCGTTTCGAGGCCTCGGGGAGAGAACGAGACGCCCTCCACCAACGAGCACATGTCCCCCCTGGTACACGAACGTACGGAGAGGCAACAGGCGAATGTGGAGCGGCTTATTAACGTGCTCGAACGCTTTGCGCCACCGCCAGGAAACGGACACAATGCCCATGGCGCTATCGGTCAACTTTCTGGAGCATCGACATCGGTTCATGTCACCAATTCGCACCTCCAACCAGCAGGCACGGCATATTGGTACAGCCAGCCTCCAACCAACACTCACCCCATCCTCACGCAAAATGCCCCACCCCCATTCTTCCATGCTTTCGCGCCTCCAGCATTGCAAACGGTCATCATGGACAGCCAGGGAAACTTATACTTCCCCGCTACTCTGAATTCGAGCCAGCCCCCTCGTGGCGCATAAGCCAAGCTTGGTGAATCGCCTCACCGAACTCTTGGCGACGGGTCACATACGCATCACGAGTGGTTGCGGGGGTTGGTCGCCACCTGTACCGTCGAATATTTCCCCGCTCCCACCAACGGTTCCTCGTCCGCACAGCTTCCCTCCGCCACCAGCCGCGCGACGTTTTCCTGCACTGCTCTTCGCTCTCGATCATATTATGAAGCACGACTGCACAGCCCACCCCAGCACACACCCGCCACAGCCAAAGAAGAGACTCATGTCCGGGTATGACATGTCGGTCGCTAGGTACTTGATGGGAATTAATATGCAAAGGCGTATGTCGACCTTGTATCTCCGTACAATAACACGGAAAGGAATCTCCATGCCGTCTACAATATAGTCCAGTATGGCTCTGTTAATGCGAAAGAGCTCGACGAATTCTGCCTCGCTCATGCGCTCGATTCTGTCCAACCACTCTGACTGTTGGGCATCCCTGTACTGCCTTTGTCTCTGGATCTTATCAATGCGTGCAATCCTGGCCTGCCTCTGACGGTCAGCCTCTGCTAAAGACAATAGCGCAGCATCCACCTCGTCATCATCGGCTTGCATCCAAGCTATCATGGCTGCTACTGCGATGGCTATCTGCTGGAGAAGGGTGGTCATTTTGAGAAGCGTGAAGACGGACGTTGCTACGGGAGATTGGAATGATCTTCGACCATCGTTGGTTTTGTAGTCTCGTAGTGGGAGGGGGGGATGGTGGAGCGGATTGGAATTGTTTTCGGTAGTGTGGGCGCGACAATTTGCTGCTCTAGTTGCGCCGTCAATTTTTCGTCCTGGAAATTTTGAACGTGCAGCCAGCTGCCACGGCAGTGTTCGGGAGAGTACTGTTACTGTACAATTCTGGCGCTCAACGACCCACAAAGTTAACGTGGGTTCCGATCGCCCGACCCTCACATCCCCACTCGTGCGACGTCCACGTTCATCCCCTCAAAAATTGTGTGCCACAAACACGTGCAATCTGCACTGTTGTTGAGCGCGGTTCGCTTTGAGCGAACTTGCTGTGAACGCCATCTAAACTCACTGATGAACACCTGCAACCGCAGACGACTTAGACAAATTTCTACGGTAAGACCCGTTAATGAGTATAAACATGATTCACAAATTCATTAATGGTATGAAGAAGATGTGCGAGTATTATTGGCTTCGATGTCATATTTCATCGTTAACTCGCACTAGTCATTAATTTTAACAAAAAATGATGTATAGCACGATAATGAATTAATTTATATCTTAGGTGTGGCTTTGTTGCAGAAATTTCATTCCATACGCTTTATAGTTATCCTAATGGAAACCGGCAAAAAACGCCACCGCCCTCAAGCGGATCAGTTGTTACAAGGACAACCAGAGGACATCAGAAAGTGCCATACTTCCCGCCAAATCCGTTTGTTCCTGCACCCACCCTCCCATCGCGCGTTTGATTGCTTGTTCACTTGGCGCTCAAGAACGGATTGTACACCTGATGCCTGTTTGAGCCCCTCCCGGTTGCCTTGTGAAGGGGGCGTATAAGCTGTAACGAGCATCTCGCATAAGTTTCGTCAATTCGCAGCTAGCTAAAAAGGATTCGCATGTGCTTATATACAAGATCTGTTACCATATTTGACTTCAGTCTCTTCTGCTTGACTTCGGTCTGTTCGTTACTATTGGTTGATAACCACGCGACGCGCTTGTAATGTAGGTGCATGAGGCTGGGGAAACAACCTCGGGTGCAGCGTATCCATCAAGCGCAAGGCAAATTCGCGTGCATGGGGTGAGCATCAGCTGTAGTTCATATTGTTGTCTCAGCGGCGAGCTTTCCCTTGGTGACAAAGTAGGATCTGTTTCTTTCGTACACGTTATAGAAGCGCTGACCTTCACAAGCCATTAGTTTCCTACGAGATATCCCTGTCAGAACTCCTTTTGCTCATCGAGAGAGGCGAAGCTCAATTGAAAGATGATGCATATTCTGATGGAAAGAATCTCGGAGTTGCATTTTTCTCAAGAACAGCAGTTTGCCAATTGAAGGGTTAATATGCTTTACTTTCCGTAACAGGCCTCGAAGCCATGTCCGCACATGATCGATAGTTGGGAACAGTCACAAGCAGTCCTCCAGTCGCAATCCATCATCACAGTCAGGCGCAATTCTGTAAGCTCGATGGGGGTACTTCTTAGACCCGTGACGCTGAGATTAAATAGTAATCCACTCGTCCTGCATACTTCCTTTACGACCAATCACCACCTTAAACACAGAACCTTTTGTCTCTCTGCGGTGAAGTGTTGGCTAAGTAATCAGAAGCGACCAATCAAACGTGGCAGACCAGCCAGAATCTGGAAATCACGGGGAGATAGTGACGATGACGGAATTAACGGAACCAGTGGATTCCGGGAATTACGGAGGGACGTCTCGGTGGCTGCGGGGGGAAGCCAGTGGTTTCCGGGAGGGCGACGGGAGCAGCAGCGGTGGCAGGAACGGCAGCAGCTGCTGCTGCAGCAACAACAGCTGCTACAACAGCGAAGGCAACAACAGCAACAACAGCCGTTACAACAGCAGCAGGAGCAGCAGCGATTGATTCAGCAGCAGGAGCAGCATCAAAGCTGGCAGCAGCAGCAGCAAGAGCAGGCCGCACAACAACAGAGCGAGTGGCAGCAAGAGCAGCAAGGAAGGGAAATGAGGAATTGGTCAGAGGAGAGAGGGAGAAGTATGGGTGGGCAGGGAGGGATTGACATGGCAGGGAGGGGTGTGGAGGAGGAGGGGGAGAGTGCGGTGAGAGGGAGGAGCAATTGGATGGAGGAGACGGGGAAGAGCCGGGGGCAGATGGAGGCGAGAGGCGTGACGTGTCTGTACGTGAAGCGCAGTATCCGGCAGTTTGAAGAGATCAGCTACGATGGCACCGTTATTGTGCGTGTAGAGGGGTGACATGTGCTTGTGGGGGGGTGATGTGTGCTTGCAAGGGGCGCGGATCTGTGAGTAGGGGGTGCGGGTGAGAGGGGGACGTGACGTGTCTGTACGTGAAGCGCAGTATCCGGCAGTTTGAAGAGATCAGCTACGATGGCACCGTCGTTGTGCGTTTAGGGGGGTGGTGTGTGCTTGTAAGGGGCGCGGAGTGACTGAGTAAGGGGTGCGGGTGAGCAGGGGGCGTGACGTGTCTGTACGTCAAGCGGAGTATCCGGCAGTTTGAGGAGATCACTCACGATGGCACTGTCATTGTGCGTGTAGGGGGGTGATGTGTGCGCCATTGTGCGTGTGGAGGGGTGATGTGTGCTTGTAAAGGGCGCGAGTGTGAGTATGGGGCTGCAAGGAGCGATGATTCTTCGGCTCCCGTCCCACTTTCCCATCCGCCCTCCCTTTCCCCACTCCCCTCCCATTCCCCATTCCCCTCCCTTTCCCCACTCCCCTCCCATTCCCCACTCCCCTCCCATTCCCCATTCCCCTCCCTTTCCCCATTCCTCTCCTTTTCCCCACCCCCCTCCCTTTCCCCACCCCCCTCCCTTTCCCCCAACCGTCTCCCAGGTGTATGGGGACGTGAGGCCTGGGGCAGTGGTAGGCAGGACGTGGTGCGAGCAGCAGGGGACGTCATAGTTCTCGGGCGGCTTGCAGAGAGGGATTGGCAGAGAGGGATTGGCAGAGAGGGATTGGCAGAGAGGGATTGGCAGAGAGGGATTGGCAGAGAGGGAGGGATTGGCAGGACAGGTGCATGCAGGTAGTGCTGATTCTTACTCCCCTCCTTTTCCCCATCCCTCTCCTTTCCCCCCATCCTTCTCCCAGGTGCAGGGGACGTGAGTCCGTGGTGCGAGCAGCAGGGAGATTCATAGTTCTTGGACGGCTGGCAGGGAGGGATTGGCAGGACAGGTGCATGCAGGGAGTGATGGTCCCTACTCCCCTCTGTTTCCCCATCCCGCTCCTTTCCCCCAACTTTGTCAGGTGTATGGGGATGTGAGTCCAGGGGCAGTGGTGAGAGCAGCAGGGGACGTCATAGTTCTGGGGCGGCTGGCATGAAAGGTGCATGGAGGGAGTGATGATCCTTTGCCTTTCCTCCCACACACACTCCCATTCCCCCCCCCCCTCCCGCGTCCCCATCCCCCCTCCCACTTTCCCACCCTCCTCCCTTTCCGCTTTTCCCTCCGTTTCCCCCACCCCACTTCAGGTGTATGGAGACGTGAGTCCAGGGGCAGTGGTGAGAGCAGCAGGGGACGTCATAGTTCTGGGGCGGCTGGCAGGCAAGGTGCATGCGGGGAACGGTGGAAACCGGCGCAGTGTGGTGGTGGCGCTGTGCATGGAGCCCAGTGTGGTGGCCATTGCCACTGAAGTGGTGTCTGGCGCACAGGGGAAGGCGGCAGGGCATCCCGAAGTCGCTTCCATAGATTCATCCGGGCATATATGGTACGTTGGTGCGGCGGGGAGCGGTTGTAAGCGGTGACAGCAGCAGGGTAAAGGTAGGCGCAGTGTGGTGGTGGCGCTGTGCATGGAGGCCAGTGTGGTCGCCATTGCCACTGAGGTGGTGCAGGGCGCACAGGGGAAGGCCGCAGGCCACCCTGAAGTGGCATCTATTGATTCATCCGGTCATATATGGTACATTCGTGCAGTGAGCAGCTGTGGGCCGCGGTGCTAGTGGTGGGGCATGGGCAGGCGCAAGCAATGTGTTGGTAGCCCTGGGCATGGACCAACCCCCCCAGTATGGTGTTCAGTGGTGGCCAGTAGCAGGTGAGCGGGAAGGGCAGGGCACACCTGGCCAGCACTCACATCCCTTCGCTCCTCCCCCTTCCACTTCCTCCAGTCTCTCGTATTTCTCCCCCTCAGCATAGAGCCTGCCGGCCCCAACAGGCAGGCACAGGTGAACGACAAGGGGAGGGCGGATCCAGTGATGGCACACCTGGCCAGCCAGCATCCAATCAATGGCCCCTCCGTTTTTCTATTCCATGCGTTTTCCACCCTTTTCTGCTCCCTGCCGGCCCCAACAGACAGGCACAGGTGAACGGGAAGGGGAGGGCAGATCCGGTGATGGCACACCTGGCCAGCACTCACATCCCTTCCCTCCTTCCCGTCCCCTTCCACTTCCTCCATTCTTCTCACATTCCTCCCTCTCAGCATAGAGCCCGCCGGCCCCAACAGGCAGGTGCAGGTGAACGGCAAGGGGAGGGCGGATCCGGTGATGGCACACCTGGCCAGCACGCACCTGATGGACGTCTCTTGGAATGTGGAGCCTCCCCCAGCCGCCGCTGCTGCAGCGAGGAAGAAGCTCTCTCGGACGGCTGTGGCCTCGCTGGTCACGGGGGCGTACATCTGTGTGGCTGGCGCCATGGCTCTCGCGTTTCCCACCTTCACGTTTGGTAAGCCCGATGTGGCGGTTTTTCTTGTTTTTTTCTCCTGTTTTCTCTCGGACAGCGGTGGCCTCGCTGGTGACGGGGACATACATTTGTGTGGCTGGTGCCATGGCACTCGCGTTTCCCACCTTCACGTTTGTTATGCCGAAGTTTCCGGTGATGGCGGTTTTTCGTGTTTTTGTTTCCTACTTTCGTTTTTTCGTATGCTCCGTGCTTGATTTTGTGAGTGTCATGTGGCCTGACCTGACTCGTGCCTGTTGTGGGTCCATTGCTACCTTTGTTTGTTTGCTTATTTTTCAGAATCTTAGAATGCATGCTGATCTTGTTCCTGCTCTCTTTATGAGTTCCAGGTTTATTGTTCGGCCGCGATGTATTGACGCCTGGATGGATTCGTGTTCTAGGGACGCTTGCCGTGGTGGGTTCTGTTTATACGTGTTTCTGCCTGCTTATCTGTTGTCTCTCTCGGTAGCTTACAGAGGGTGATGTTATTAAGTATACTTCTTTGATGTGATCAGGTGTTTGGCATCTACTACATTGGCGCTGCCAGGGGTGAAATAAATGGTTCAGGGGTCCGAGGCTTCTACGAGGCAACTGTCGTCGGCCGAATTGTGAGTAGCACTATGTGCTTGCAATTATTCCACTCATGTACTTTCCGGCTTTGCCTTCACGAGATTCTGCCACCAGGTCCATGTTGTGCTAAGATTTCTTGTGGGGACTCCTGCAGTTTCTTTTCTTCAGTTTCTGTGCTCTCGTGGCATCCGGGGCAGTTCCAGCCATGGTTTTGCTTGTAAGTTCCAAGATCTCTTTGTGACAGAAAGTGGTCTCTCTGTGACAAATGTGAACGTTCCGTTCATGGCTGCCTTTAGACAGCGCACGTGACATGAGATGCTGACACAGTGTACTGGTATTTGTTGCTTGGGATTTTTGTGTGCAGCTCGGCGTAGTAAATCTGCTCGGAGCATTATCAATGGCCTTCTGTTTACAGCAGTGAGGAGTAGCAGCTGGAATGCCTCCACAAGTGTGGTTGTTCATAGCCCCAGTTTCGATTTCTGGTCTTGTGAATCCAAAATTAGTTCAACCTTGATACAAGCCTTCAGTTCAAAAGCACTGCTTTGTTTATAGATCTGTTCATAAGGCAAGATAATGCTCCCTTCAAACGTTACAAGGTCTCATGTATGCATGAGTTGTGCACAGTGTGCTTATTGTTGGTACAGTAAAGGAGCCCAGCTACTAGAACTGCACATTGTCAGTGCTTATTGTTGGTACAATAAAAGAACCCAGCTACTAAAACTGCACATTGTCAGTGCTTATTGTCATCATCAATCCATTTGCTTCACTCCATGCCAACTCCCCTTCTGCATCCAAACCTCCTCCACCCATGGCTTCGTCCATGGCCACCATTATGGTGCCTCTTTGCTTGGATCAAAGAAGTGAAGGATGATGGCACCTTTACCACCACCCAGCTTCAGCTTACAGCCATGTTCCAGGACTGCATAACGCTGTAGTGGCCTACCATCAACACTTGCCATAGCATTTCCATATACCAGAATGCTGACTCGAGTGGTTGTCTTGTGACCACTGGCATTTTGTCGACCAGGTATGTGCAGGACCTCGCAGTGATCTTCCAAGAGGCTGGGAACATGGATATCAGCTCCACTGCCGGATCCAATCTTAGTTACTCCTGGCTGAAGAACGTGCTTAACACCTGCGCACGTTGAGGAAAAAGCTGTGAGGTCACAGGCCAAGCATAGACACAGAAGAATGTACAAAATTTGGCCTACCTGTAACAGCCTCGGAGTTGGCATCTTCATCCGATAGCAACAGGGGGATGAAGAATGGATATGAAGTCTTCGAGGACTCAGGATTGGCCGACTTGGTGGAGTTGGAAATCATGCCTGGCTTCTTAAGAACATCTGTCAGCTTCTTAATCAGAGTGTCTGTCTGAGTCTCCAGAGGGATCAAGGCTTTTGGTGCATTAGTAGCAACAGTTACGCTGCCAGCAGGGCGCTCTCCAAAGATGAAAGGCTTCACGTTCTCCTCTTCTCCTGTGGTGCTGACTTGCTGAAGTTGAGCGGAAGGCTTACCTCCAAGGACGAGCATTGGCCCCAACGAGGCTTCACTTGCGGCACTCTTTTGCACCACCTGAGAGGTCATGCCAAGCGACAGCACCCTCTCAAGCGCACTAGACCTTCTCTTTAGGGCAGGTTCGGACTGGCTGTCAGGGATCGTTAACACATGCGGCTTTGGGAAAGGATTAGGAAAGAGCGGTGTGAATGGGAGGGCAAGTGATGCTGAGGATGGCTCTCGGAAAGCAAAGCTGTCACGCTTCTGAGGAAGCTTCAAGGCCAAACATGAATCCGTCTGGTGTGGAGACTCTGGCACCTGTGAAATATCTCAGAGGGATTAGTAGAAAACAAAAAGATACAATCTGCAGTGATAAATGGCAATCTCGTTATACCTGAACCCCGACGCTACGGAGCCGAACGTTAGGATGAAAAGAGGCCCGCAGTGCCAAAGACTCCACCATTTTGCGGAGAGTTTTTACTTCGGACATCAGGCAGCGGATAGTCAAGTCCTTTGGATCTTCATTGATAGTTGGCTTGTTCTGGATCCGCTTAGCACGATTCGCGTAGCGCAAAGTGCTTAATGTTTCCCTCAAATCCTGCAATCCAGCTTTCAGTTGCAAGCTGTTCAATCGACGAAGGAATGCTGGCAAACTATTGCCCCCACATACCTCGAAGGCAGGTGAGATATTGGCTATCATCACTGTCTTGCTGTTTCCTCCTAGGCTTTCCTTGAGCAGCCAGGTTAGAACGGAATTCCTATATGGCACAAAATCACTTCCTTGAGAGAGTTGTGTTATAACCTGCAGACGAAAAAGGATATTGTCATTCAGGCTTAAACACAAACCTTCAGATTTTTGAACTTACATTGTTTAAGAGAGACAGGGATCTGTTGATGTAGCCTGACTCCTTGAGCCTCTGCCCACTCGCATGTGTTCGAGCTTGTCGCTCACTTCCTGGAATCTTATTGTCAGAGGTGAACTTGCAATCATGCACTGCAAGCTATGCAAAGATGGTCTTACCAGCAAGATCAACCATGTTAAGCTGGCTCGTCCTTTGGCTGTCCAGGCCGTCCTGCCCCTTCACCTTCTGAAATGGAACAACATCAGAAACATTTTGCAATACGAAGTTTCAGATTTACAGCCTACTCAAACAAACCTGGGTGATTGTCATGGTGAAAACAGTGTGGCTTCGACTGGACTTCTGATTCATGTCGGTAGCTCCGAAGGTCCTGTTCGAATGTCCTTCTGCCAGAGCATCCTTCATCTCCTCCCACGACGTCACAAAGCGTCGTGTCAAGCCAACCACATAAGGACCTAGTTTAGGATGTTCACGAATCTTGAGCTTCTCTTGTGCACCATTCGGTGAGGAGAGGGGTGACATGGATGGAGACCGAGGCGACCTTGGCGAGCGAGGGGATGCTGGGGTCCTAGGAGATGCTGGTGATGCTGGAGCATGCTCTGTTGAATGCTTGGCTTTTTTTGGCGAATGAATCGGAGAGGCGTTCTGATCCTTGAGATTCTGAGCTTGTAAGTGAGAGTCCGACATAGAGCCCTCCTTACTAGCATGTTCCTCTGCTGGCAGCTGCTGTTCATTGTGAGTAAAAGCGGCAGCAAATGCTTCACTTGCACTGGTCCCAGAATGCGCAGGGTGCTTGCTGGTAAGAAGGTCCCTAATCTTCTCTTGGTATATCTCTAGAAAGCTCACCTGAAAGCAGAAAAGAAAAAGAGTTGGTACTACAATTGCACGCATGATGAAACGAATATTAAATTCTACCTACTTGAACGTGACATTCTGGATCGCCATGATACAGGTATGACATCCTTTGCAGAAGCGCAGATGCAATCCGTGGAACCTGCAAATCATAATAGTAGTCAATACGTGCATTGAAAACATAGCGAAGTCAAGTGCTAATACTACCATTCCTTTCCCTGCTGATGTCCCGTCTCCCATCATCGTGTAAGTCTTCCCTGACCCTGTCTGACCATAAGCGAAGACCTGAAATAACAGACCACATTACAGCTCTGAGCTGATACGTGCCAGTCGCCTGAAATAGCGCTGTTCACTTACAGTGGCATTGTAGCCTTCGAGTGCAGCTTTGAGACATGGAGATCCCAGGACTTCGAAAAGCCGTGACTGCAAGTTGTCAGCCATGGCGGGATCCGTTGGTGGTGTAAGGTTGTCATCTTGGACAAAGTGAAGGGTGAACTCATGGTTAGCGGAACGAGGGCTCTCTACATCTCTCTTTCCTCGTCCATTCGGGCTTTCCGTAGGGATCATGTCCTCGCATACCAAGACTCTGTTCCCAAAAACAGCGATTGCCTGTATAGCACGACGAAGACATTTAGCTCGGGATCGCAACAGGTTCATGCTTTTATCAAAGCATGACGACATGCCTTCCTCCCGTGTAACATTGTTTCTTCTGAAGAAAACGGCCGGATCCTCAGCGCAACGGTGACCTGAAATATAAAGCATACGTCTCAGTCATCTAGATTCCATATCTCAATTCACTGAATAACATACCCGTTCGTTTCCAGGGAGTGCAGCTGCGTCGTCGGCTTTCATGGATCTCGGGCTGATCATTGGAGATTCAGTTTTATTCTCGTCTTTCGTGTCCTCTTCCTCCAACCTATGAAACAGTGTGAGTTCATCGTTGTAGCGAAGGATATCAAGCATCTTAAATCCGTCGCACCTTTTCGTCACTTCCTTTGGCGTGTCTCGGTCGTTAACGTTTATGTTCGACATGTTCACGTTACGCCGCTCCCGTAACGGTCGAGGGGTATCCTTGTGAACATATGTCGCATTCTCCACCTGCCCAATGCTATTCCTGTCCTTGGGAGAAGGTGAACCATTTTTCGAGGGACTACGCCTTTCAGGCGTCATGATTTCAGAATAATGGTGACTGCTTGTGCTCAATGATGGATGATAGTGCTTGCGGAATTCGAAGAGTTGTTGTGGCCAAGAGAAGAACGTGAATGAACGCACTCTGTACCCGGTACAGTACTACAGAAAAAAAAACGTAAAGTTTATGTGCTGAACAATTATCTTCCATATATTCTTTATTGCCAAATTCTAGTTCACATACTCACCAAATCCACCTAATCAGTCTTCCTCTTTCCGAAAGGCCAAAACCAGCTCAACACTGCACACACGTACTGCCAAATTGCACCCAACCAGTGCCTCCTGTTTACAACAGGTGCTGTTGGCTGTGGCTTAAAAATCCCCTTAAACATCTCTTTCTGCTTTTCCATTGCCTCTCGCTCTGCTTTCTTCAAAGCCGCCAGCTCACGAGCAATAGCAGCATCACCAGGGGCCCGTTTGGCAGCAGCTTTGATGTCGGCCATCGATGCATCGATCTGTCCAAGTGCATGGCGTGCCTTGCCCCGGCGAAAGAGGGCCTTGGGGTTGTCTGGCTCTTCCGAAAGCACCTGGAGGATGCCAAGCAGACGGATTTCACGCCACAAGAGATATGGGTGAAAAAGATGGTGGTAGCATCAACTCTTTCTGAGGGGCAAAGTCATATAAGAAAAAGAAACAAGCCCACTGAAACCCAGGACACCATGCCAAATAACTTGAGAACAAACACCACTTCAGTGCCAATGTGACATGCATGACGGCAATGTCAAGAGAAGGACACAAAAGCATGCACTACCAGAGGAGCATAAGAGCGTGCATTTACTACAGAGGAAGATACGCGGGTGCATTAACCAGAGAGTAACATAAGCATG